CAAAATTAAGATTTTTCTTTCGTATTTGTGATTTTCGTTTCAGTTATAAGCGAGTATCTTGTCAGGGCCGATTTTGAAAACCATTGCATTATGTCCTTATTCAAACTTACGGGGATGCGCGACATCTCTACATTTTCTGTTTTGTCCCCGACATTGTTGCGACGGTGAGCCGCCTATGGTTTTGCAGAAGAGAAGATTAAAAATGAGCAACATCATATTGTTTGACAGAAAGTTGCAGGATGATAGAGTGGGTTCTTCAAGGGGGTGAAAATGGAGAATTCCTAAAAAAAAGCTGAGATTTTGCCTTCTGGAGGGTATAGCCTAGAGGGAATCACGGTGTCGACCATACAAAATCGCATTAAGGATTACATTTCAATGAAAAGTCATTTTTTAACGCAAATATGACGCAGACACTTCCCTTCGGAGTAGAAAAGAACAATTTTCCAGAGAATAGCTCGTTTTGATTAAATCTGACATGCTGATAATTCTGCGTTGATGTAAAATAATTAACATAATAGCCGTAATTAAAACCGCGCTAACAATGCCATTAATTTATCACAGTTTTACTAGCTTTCTGCCCCCAACTGCGCTCTCGTCCTTAATTAAATGAGTTGCCTTTCATAAAAATCTTATTTTCTACGAACTATAGTAATTCTCTTCATCATTATTGTACAAATTGAACATTTAGCTAAAGTAAAATTTCCGTTTTTAGATGTTTCATTTCGGCACAATATTAAAATGCATGTTTTCATTGATTTGTCACCGTACTCTGCATAGTAGAATTAAAGATTAAATAAGGCCCATGCCAGGTACAAACTATAGAATGCATCAATACTGTGACCCATCTTAAAAAAAAACACCTGGAATAACGAATAATTATGGAGAAGTGTTTCTTATGACCACAATAAAAGCTGTTTGACGAAATTGTCCATCTCTCATCATTACGAAACCGCGGCTTTATAAGTAAGGACTATGAACTTGCTGGTAATTCTCATACAAAACATAGTCTTTACATTACCCCCACATTTCATTTCATATCAGCTCAGACTGATTTCAAATCGATTTCTCAGAATCCCTATAAGTCGGAATAAAAAAAGGCCCATAGAATAATAAAAAAAAATCCATGCAAAGGCATAACACCTGAGACAGAAACAGCCTTCGCTTAATGCCAAAAGGCTTAATCCTTCTCAGCTCTCAGTTTTACATAACTTATTTACTGAAGGAAGAGGTTTTAAAAAGATGAGAGAGGACGCCTTTGATTCCAGGTTAGCTCTCTAAAGCGATTACATGACAGTGTTTTGGGAATCCAGAGCTCCTATATCATTTCCAGTACCTTCCATTCACTGCAGTCAGGACACTTTCATTCTTTCGGGGAGAAAACACAGAAAGGTACAGAAATCGTACATTTCAAACATTTTTGTGTGATTATTTACCTTCTTTAGAAAGCATCTACCCTAGTGGCACTCCATTATTCAACACAGTAAAGCCTTCAACGACTACCCTCCGATTTTCTTTTTATTTTCTACTACCTTGGAGAGACACGTTTTCTATCCTGCTCTTCCGCCGCCACCCTCCTTCTTTATTTCTCAGATTTAATTAGGCATAAATCTTATTCCGTATTACTATTTGCGAGCTATCTGTTTCTGACCTTGCTTGGTTATCACATCCAGAGACTGTATCCGCACCGTCACCTGCTGTAGCAGCGTCCCCTAATAGGTTCATGCTGGAAAGAGTTAGCTTATTATTCTAAAAGGTTTTGTCGGGCTAAGCCGTGCATATGTGCTTAAATGTACATTTCATTAACAAACTGCGAGACTATAAAACAGGATTTATGAAGCTTCAAAAGATCAGTTTAAGAGGACGGATTTTATCTACTTTTTCAACAATAAGGCCGATAACATTCTCTTTCAAAACCCTATGACACAGAAATTGAAAGACAAAGATCTGAAATAGACTCAAGAATCCCTTTAAATGTGTTTCTCTCTCACATACTTTTGCATTCTTGTCTTTACGGGATTTCCCGTCCACTCTTAAGTTTTATTTGCTACTCCTTACTCCACCCACACGAAACTCCACACGGAGAATGGATTCGAAGCAAATATTTTGGCTATTAAATTTAAGTAAAGTAGATTCTATTTTCCTTATGAAATAAGTGGTTTACACTGTGGGGGCATCTCTAGATTGCCTGATTGTCAAGAATTGCTATCTCTGTAAGGCCATTTTCACAAATGATGTGTCTAAATTGATAATAATACACGCCCACATTAAATAGCATAATATAACGAGTTTGTCCAATCCTTCAAAAAAGAGGTTAAAAGTGTATATTTCGGTGTGCCCTGATACACAACGAACTGCTAGTTCTACTATGTCCTATATTGTTGTACATGGTGACACGTTTTTAAAAAGGAACTAAAAGTATTTAAAACGTTGAATGAGCAAACGACGTGTAAAATAAATGTTGGGTTTTGCTGAAAGGAGACCAATTTCATCTGCTAAGTAGCCGGTATTGACAGAGTGGAGATCACACAGGTCAGATGGTACCCCGCCTCAGAGCCAGATTAGTACAATACATACTTAATCTGGGGGAAACGTTCCTTTTGACTCAAGCCCCATTATTATTAACGATGATATGATTTAATTAACACGACTTTTATTGTGATGTAGAAAATAAACGAATCAACGAGATGCCGAATTACAGTTGTGATTTTTTATCTTCTGCCTGGAGAATAAAAGATACACTGCATTGTGGAGTTGTTTCATGAAGGAGGAGCTGTGTTTCGGATTATATCTTAATATTTGCTAAACATCGTGTATACTGCACTTTGCAAGGAACATCGCGTTATTCCCTTTATTTTTAAATAGAATGAATTACAACAACAAACAAAATATACGAAGAATATTATAAGAAAAACGAGTATTAGAATATTAGGTTACTAAAACGGGTATTATATAATATATAGATTTGTACTCGCAACGTAGTCTCAAATGAAAATAACAACCTTTATACATTTTATATTTAATTGTATTAGACTACATTCACGTCAAAAACAACTTATAACGCTTTATCTAAATACAATAAACAAAATATTAAGCTGTCCAAATGTCATTCGTTGCCTTTTCAACAGATGGGCGCTTTATTACATATCATTTCATATTCATTACAGTTATTGCCTGGTAATTAAGAGTTTTTTTTATCGAGTGTAGCCTACGAAATCTACCGAACAGAAAATGCAAATCCAAACATAAAACGTATTCCTGTTAATGCTCGATAAGAACGTGGTCCTTATAATACTTAGTACACCTTTTGCATTTTAATAAAAAGACATCTCTACAACATACTTAACAACAATATTACTTTTATACATATTGATATGAAATCCGAAACCTTGCATGAACTCCCATCTCCGTAATATGTGTGCTTATTTTAATTCATTTTTATTTAGCTTAATTTAGCCAACTGCACAGAGTGTCCAAAAAATACTGGAAATTGCGACAAGTGACGCTTTCAAGTTATTTAAAATAAAGAAAATCCTTCCATCGCAACCACAATACACTACGACGTCTAATTCATTCGTCAGCAGAGGCCTGAAGAATTTTGTTCGGTACAGAATAAGCCTTGTCACAGTTAACTGCTGCTCAGATCCCATCGTAAAGTCATTTACACATTTTTGTTAGTTCTAATAGAGGGGTGGTAAGAATAATTGATTCTGTTGTCAATTAAAGATATTTTCATTACGGCAGGAGGAGACTTGCAGACCAAATCAATAGGAAGTTATATTGCTAGTGGCACACAGATAACGAATTTAAAGCTCCTGTACTCTTTTTCTCTGGGCTACACAAATAGAACAATATAAAAGTTATCGAACATTCTGATAAACTCGTTTACCTCAATATGCAAGAAAACTGTTCGGAGGACAAAAAAAATCATTTAAAAGGTACGTGCGTATTGTTACAATTAATTACAAATTACACTGGGATAGAGAAAGGTTTTAATCTTTCTGAGGTCTGTGAAATCTATACAAACAACCAGTCATTTTAAAGTCAAGGCTTTTATGTTTTTATGACAAGTTGTGTGGTGGTTCTGTTTTTCCCTCCTCTGTGTCACTGATATTAAACGGTTTTCTCGCAGGAAACGTATGAAGTTCTGTGTACGTTTTTGCATCCTTTTCATGGAAAACATCCTACTGACAAGACTTGCTTACCTTCATTGTTGTGAATAGACTCTTCAAATTCACCTACTCTCTCATTTCCTACTTTTTCATATGCTAACTCCAGCAATGATTAGGTCGTTAACACCTCTGCAGAGCCCGTTAGGAGTTCTTTATAGTTTCCCATTATCATCGCACGCCTTTCCCCTTCTCCTTTTCATTTGGTGAATGTAATACATTAATCGATTACCCTCCAGCACTTGCACTGTATGTTCAAGTTCAACTAAGATTAACATTATTTTTTATGCCGAAAACACCATAATCTTGGTTTCTAACTACACGGCAAATGTCCAAAAATTTCCACGTATTAACAGTTTTTCAGAGCATAAACATCCCTCTTCTCATTAGGAATATTTGCTAATTCCTGTACTTTTTTTTCTGGCTTTATACGCGTTGCCCGCGATATTTATTGAAGACGAAACGGTGAGTAGCTGCGAAGAGGTTTAATGAACTTAAAATGCAGACGCTTTCGCTCATCGTCTTTCAGCACAATTTGATTTAGCCAAAATTGGTTTTAGAGCTGCAGAGTTAATTCATAACTGCTACGGAGATTTCAATCAAGCAGGCCAGTTGTCTTTTTTCCCCCAACTGCTACTGTGAAATGGTCTATGACAGACGAATAAAGTAGGGATGTAGTGGCAAGTGGTATTACCGCTGTCCCTTTGTTGACAAATCCATGAAACAACTCCAGTTTGCATGGTTTAACAGGGGGAAGTCTGACGTCAGGCCATCACGTGACGGCACTGATAGTATATCTTTAACTGAAAAGTAATCTATCAGACAGTTCTTAAAACCGGCTTTAAAGCATGTGTCATCTTTACTCCCCACTCTGAATCCAGTTTCAGTTACTGGGAAATACGATTTGAAGGTGAGCGGGCGTGAAGCAAACGAGACTGTTACAACTTTAGCTAGGCGCTTCGCGGCTAGAGAAATATTTTCTAAAGTTTAAGTTTCACTGGCAGGCCGATCTGACCTGCATTTAGAATTTGTTGACATCCGATCCCATCCAGACGGGCCACGGCACTTACCTTCGTTTGTTCTTCAGTAAAGTAAGCTGTGATGACCCTGTCTGGAGGCAACAGTGCCAACGACATGTCCGGTCAGACGGTGCTTACAGCTGAAGATGTGGATATCGATGTGGTCGGAGAAGGCGACGAGGGGATGGAAAGGGACAGCGACTGCGAGAGCCAGGGAATTCACGACCGCGGCGAAGAGGGGGAGGAGATCGGGGTGAAAGAGCTGACGGGGAGCCCCTGTGAGAGCGCAGCCGAAGGAGAGACCAAGGGAGACGGCCAGGAGACCGCATCTGCGCCCATTCAGAGCAAACCAAAAAACAGCCTGGTGAAGCCACCTTACTCTTACATCGCGCTCATCACCATGGCTATACTTCAGAGCCCGCAAAAGAAATTAACCCTTAGTGGGATCTGCGAGTTCATCAGCAACCGCTTCCCCTACTACAGAGAGAAGTTTCCAGCCTGGCAGAATTCCATCCGACACAACCTGTCCCTGAACGACTGCTTCGTCAAAATCCCAAGGGAGCCGGGAAACCCAGGCAAGGGCAACTACTGGACTCTAGATCCCCAGTCGGAAGATATGTTCGACAACGGCAGCTTTCTCAGAAGACGGAAAAGATTCAAGAGACACCAGCCAGATGTTCTCAGGGAGCAAACCGCCCTAATGATGCAAAGTTTTGGGGCGTACAGCATCGGGAATCCTTACGGGCGTCACTATGGAATTCATCCGGCAGCCTACTCCCATCCAGCGGCTTTGCAGTACCCTTACATCCCCCCTGTGGGTCCAATGCTTCCCCCGGCGGTCCCTCTCTTGCCCTCCGCTGAACTCAACAGAAAAGCTTTCAATTCACAACTCAGCCCCAGTCTCCAGCTGCAGTTGAATAGCCTGAGCACAGCGTCGATTATCAAATCGGAGCCTTCCAGCAGACCCTCGTTCAGTATAGAAAACATTATTGGGGTGTCCAGCACGTCTTCTAGTGCACAGACTTTCCTGAGGCCTCCTGTGACAGTTCAGTCTGCTTTACTCAGCGCACAACCTCTCTCCCTTACCCGGACATCAAGTGCTATAGCGCCTATTCTGAGCGTGCCCACAAACATAATCTCCGGACAGTTCTTACCGACAGCGTCCACCGCAGGTGTTTCCAAATGGCCTTCTCAATGAGAACTTTATTTTTTTATACATAGAAATATATGTCACCTGTTCGATACCAAGCACTGGACTTTGACGGCAAAACTGTAGCCATTGTCAAAAAGTAAAAAAAAAAAGGAATGCTTTCTGTACAGGTAAAATTTGTAAATATTTGTACAAAGAAACTGATTTACTTGTTTGGTTTTTTTTCTAATTATTTTATTGTTTGAACTGTGTAACAGTTGTTGTTCACCGAGCTTCCATTTTTTTATTGTTGGGAGTTCACTGCCAGTAGTAATATTGAAATTACATTTTTTTTGTTTTATAAATACATATAATGCAAAAAAACAGGAAAACACTTCGTATTCTATGAAAAATAAGTCTGTTTATAAAAACTGAAATAAATGTATTCTATGTAGCTCTATCGTGTTGTACACTGGATAACTTTGTTAATAAATCTGGATAAAAAAAACCATGCATAATGTATTTTTTCCCCTATAAATGCATTTCCTAAATTTAGCTTTATTTTATTTTCAAAGGTTGGGATGACTAAATGATTGGAATTAATCAGTATTTATAACACACGGATTTATTTTAGATGAAACTATAACTTAATATTATATCCCACATGCTTAGAAAAAAAACTTCTTACGCACAAATGTATATAGAATTGGGTTACTTATATTATTTTAATATCACTATAGTATTTCTCTTGCTACATTGTTTTGCATACTCGCTATGAAAACGAATACATACAGTTGTTATTATTAAACTGAAACAAAAATTTAATTACATATATACGGCTTTTGTTTTTAGCTTGTTTTAGTTGGAGATTTAGTGTATTCTATTCTAACCAGCATTGGGTTATATATAGAGGCGTATTCCGAAACAAATGTCCTGGTATTTCAGAAGATGAAAGGTGTTTAATATTAATGCAATATATGTTCTAATATTCATAATAATTTAAAGGCTCAAATAATTTAAAGTTATACACTAGATACATCTTTTGTAAAAGTTATATAAATTTTAATCAGCGCTGTATATACCAAAATAGTTTAATGGACTAAATTCCTTAATCTGCGAATATAATATTTATTTTTCTATTACCCATGACTGTAAGGTAGCTACCGTGTATTTATTTTCGAAATCTGAAATGACTTTTTTTCCAATTTCGTGATAATTATATTACAATAGGTAAATTATTGCTATCTTAAAAATTAAACATATATAAATAATTACACGAATAAAATGTCTGCTAAACATAAAGTCGTTTTATTTGAGTGTTGAAAAGTGTATGAATACAATAAAACAGGTCTTCGGCGCTGAGCATATCATTTTATAATGAACAAATTAATTTGTGTAATGCGAATCAAACAGCCTAACATAATCACCATTATTATTATGCTGTTAGTATTATTTGCATGTTATTATATAAGTATAGATTACAGACGTTATTATGCACATACTATTACACATATACACTACATTTACATGCTAGTTTTGAGTGAATGTAAAGGACTTCAGATGTTGTCTGAAAATTGGTGAAGAAATGCCTTTTTCAAAACTAGCTTTGGTATAATTTGAAACGAAGAAGTAAAAATATTAATGTAGAATTACGGTAGCGCATACAGTTCTAAAATCAAGACAGAGTCCGGTAATGTCCAATATTGCAGTACTGTTCTAGTACGAATACTGCGTATAAATAACACATACAGATATATACACTGTATAATGACAGGAACAACAGCTTTTTAAAATAAATCAGATCGAATAACCAGGGATCTCAAGTAAGCCCTCTAAATGGGGAGTTTCTGCAGTATCTTTTTACATAAAAAAATGAAGTGATCTAAAAATGTTTATACGGTGCTGCTATAAAAGTAACACTTCGTTTCACAGTTGTGTCTGGCTAATCAGTTCTACACAAACAGCAAATGGTAGATGATTTGTGCCACACAGGGGTTACTGCTATATTTAACTGATACCCATGGGAAAAGAGAAAGGGGTCTCTTCTTGAATTCACTTTCAGGCTCAAGAAGCTGCTGATCCAGTACTTCTCAATGACACTGGATAACAGGGGGCTCATTCCTGGACTGATTCCTTATTCCTTAAAATTAGGTTAACATTTCTATGTGCATTGCTATAATGCTTCCTGTCACAATGCAGTTAGACTGCCCATACCGCCAGTGATTTATTGTACTATGTCATGTTCGGGATTTTCTTTTAAAAGAAAGCTTTAACAAAAGAAACATGATCAAATATAAATCAAATATATTTTGTTGGGTGCCGATTTTGTGTAAGTTAGGCTTAATTAATGTGCGGGTTCATTAATTTACACGCGCCACACGGTGCATTTCACAACAAACTCACATTTTTTATATACGCATTTATGAAAAAGTAATTTTGATAATCGATAACATTGGTATACAACTAATTTCTTTGGCTGTTTGAGTTAAAAGCCGTGTTTACGTACTCATGAAAATATTTTATCAAGATGGAAGGCCACTTCTTCTTATCCAAACGTACCTTTCCAAACACAAAGGAGATGCACTTTTGCAGTCTCCTGTTTCTGTAAACGTTTTAGTGTTTTATTTAACACATGTTTATATTGTCTATACCTAAATTTCGTCATTAAAATTATAGCAACATATGGAATTGTTTCTTAGTATTACAACTACAAATGATACAATCTTACATAGGCGTGAACTCACCACGATTATGTTTTCCAAAATGCATAATAAAGAATAAAACCTGCAGGAAAATGATTTAATCAACAATTACAATTTCACAGATTTTCTGTGCTGATCTGTATGTTACAATTTCCATTTAAATATCCAGTATTTCACTTCCATAGTCACAGTTGACTAAATCATCTGAAACCCGAGCGGGTAAATACTTAATCGGGATCATTACTAGAAATAAGCTTTTCTTTGCATTTTTCAGAATGCAAAAATGCAGAATGTATACATAACGGGAATATATGTATATGAACAATTGTCATTATGTTCTCTGCAATTTACCTAATGCTCCTAAACCTATTTTTAGAATTAACAATGAAACAGAAGCCACTGTGCCAGTCCAAAAGACCATCGCTAGGTGGCGTTTACTAGTGTCCAATTTCTTTTCAAACAACTTGAAAAGATATGAACTTTTGAAATACCACCGTAGCATTATAACAGTCTTTTAAAACTGGCATGTTGAAATTGATCAGCGAGAGATATAAAGAACCGAAGTTGCTTCAGGGATAGATCTTTATTTTGGAGTAGGAGCACTGTGAAATAGTTTAAATTCGGTGGGTTTTTAATCAAGTAGTTCATTTAAAATCTGGTGTGGGAAAAAGTCGACTCTTCAGCAAGTGCAGGATTATTGATAGATCCCTTTTTATAAAAATGAAGTCACGTAACAGCCATTCAACTCAAATTTGGGATAGTAATCTATATATCAATATAAAGAGCACCTTTAGTGTGTCACCCTCTGTTTTAAATGCAGTTTATTAGTAGAATGTAGATATAGCTATGACGTCGGTATGAACTACAAGCTAACATACAGGTATATATAAACAACTAAACCTCACGTTTCATGTTTATTTTCCTTACTGCGTACTGACAATAACTCGGTTTAAGACAGCAGCAAGAATTAAAAAAAAAATTACATCGATGGTGAGTTAATTTCACTTCTTAAAAGTAAAAGTGATGGGAGTGTGGAAGTTAAAGCGGAAATGTGGAAAAGGTTAGAAATAACATCCTCTCTGAGCGTTTCCACTTGAAACAAAATTTCCAGGTATTTGTTTTTGCACAGTTCATTCATTACAGTTAAATTGGGTGTTATCTATGAAAAGAAATAAATGATTTCCCATATCCTACAACAAACGCGCGTTTTATTTTTATTCATTAACGAGTTATTTTTTCGTAGAAAAGCAGCAGGTAACCCATTCTGCGTGTTTTAATCCGAATGCGACGTCGCTAAAACGGAGAGGCAGAAACCTTCAAGCAGGCACTAGTGGCTGTTAGGGTATCTGAAACAACAGGAACTACATGGCATGTAGCCTAAGGATGTGAATCGTACTGATAAAGTTATTGTTATTGATGCTTATGCAGAAGATATCATATTTGACTAATGCCAACTCTCATTCCTAGTAAACGTTACTGTATGTGCCGCATATGTGCGTACTGTATATTGTATATTGTCCTGCAACGGATTGCAGGCTAATACCTTTAACTAAAGGGCAGACTGATATGAATTTTAATATTAGTACTACTCAAATATGTGACTCATTCTTTGATGCATTCTTAAATATGTATATGCATTGTCTTTTTTTCATTGTCTTTGATATTAACAAAAATAAATTCTCAAAACAAAATGATCACTATGTAATCTCCGTTTAGAAGCGAGAGGTCGAATGATGGATAATGTGGAAAACTTGCTCCGCTGAAGACCACCGACGTGTGTCGTATTCGAGCCTGACCTTTGGTGCTGCACCTGCTCCTCAGCTGAGCACAGGTGGGGTGGAGAGAGCGCGAGAGCACTTCATTCCCACACCCTCGTGGAGTAAAATGCTTCAAGGCTGAGGGTCGCCCACTCCACATTAGTTCCAACCTTTATGAGAATGACTAAAGATTACTTTTAAATTAAAAATGTGAAGCTCGCTTTATCAGAATATCAAATGCGAATTTAATTTTTGTATGTTCTCCGTACACAACGTCAAGGGAATGTCGTTTAATGAGGCTTAAATCTGAGGAAGTAGCATACATCTAGTCCTAACCGCCGCTGAATTATTTTTAGTATAAAATGAAAAATTCGTGGTTCTACACTGCATCCAACACGAAACTAATGCAGTTTTTCTATTCATGACACATAAGTTTCCTACTGACACGTCGGAGCAAAAGCTATACAGAAGTGCTGTGCTTTTGCTGCTTATAATATAAATTTTGTTGAAACGAAATCGCTCAGATGCAGTACGCTGCGGTTTTACTAGGCTGGAAGGGAACGGTAATTTCAAACAAAGCCAACCCTAGTAGGTAAACATATTACACCGTGTAACGGTAAACAACACGACTCCAGCAGTAATAGTAGGTTGATACTCTACGGTCACGATCAGAAATTTCGAGGCACGCTTTGCCTCTAACGCCGACGAAATAGTCTTTAGATATGTGGGATCTACGAAAAGTGAAAACACCTTCATGACCAAATCACAGACAGTAAATGTAGATACAGCAGTTACTGAATATTTAAAAGGGGAAGAGATGAAGCAATAAATGACAAAGTAAAGCTGGCACACAGTGCATTAATAACTAATGGACACCTTCCAATGACTAATAGGCTTCCCGTTGTAATGAAAGTGTCGCTGCAAATCAGCGGTTGTCCAAGGTTATTATTATTTATAAATATTTGATGTATTAACTACAAAGGAGCACGTCTTATACAACAACTTTTTGACCCATGTAGAAAAGAACAATGGAACGGACGAACAAACATATATCCGACTATTCCTTGGGGGCAGACTTGAACTTCTTTTTCAGAAATAAGCCTAGAGCTACCCGATGAGAAAACTGGAGGTTTTTAAACCGTTTTTTTCACCTCCATTTAAAAATCCTTCTTAATTCTCCACTCAAATGAATACTCCATACCAACTAGAATCTGCATTCCAACTCTTTTCATTAATTGCGTGAAAGATTATACGTAAGATTATAAAGTAGGGTTAAAATGAAATATGTTAACAACATGATCAAATGCTACCAATAATATCAAACAGTAGTTTTAAGAAATGTGTGCTGTCTTGGAATCTGCAATGAGTGCTCTTAAATGGCGTTTTTGAACACTGCAATCACACAGTGTATAGTGTCTTAAAAAGCTATTGACTTACCTTGTATTTGCATTACAGATACAAATTGTCAATGTCGAGCGGTACTTGACCTAAAGAGAACCGTGAATTTATGAAAATTAGTTCCACTCTTTTTGTTAAACAAAAATCAAATAATATTTCCACTTTTTTCATATTTGGAACAATGGTAGATATCTGATGTGAAATAAAGTAATTTTATGTTTAGCATGTAAACCATTAAATTGTAGCCTAGTTATGTAAAAAATAAAAATACATGATCTTAGTGCAGTTCAGTACAAACACAACTCTGACTTCTCACAATTGATCCACAAAGGAAAGTATTCTCCAGATATTTAACAGATTAATATCATTACACTGCATAGTGGAAGTTACACCTTTAACTAATAAGATGCTAACTGGGCTGGCCACTAAAATGCACCAAATGCCCCACAGCCGAAACGTTGTGTTTCCTTTCTTCTCTTTTCAGCATGGAATAAACCTTTACTTTTTCCACTTAAATGCATGAAGCTTTTTTTTTAATTAGTTTTGAACATCGCCAGGTACTTGGTCTTTTAGTTAGGAATTTATTACTTATTGTACTTTTTTTAAAACGGGAACCAACATTTTACAGCTCACCTTCCCAGGTAAAACAAACTCTCAGTCCTGTGACGTCATAACTAAGCGCCGGAGTAGGAGGCATGTGTTTTGTGTCCCTAATGCTGACGTTTTGAATAAGGAAGTGTATGAAGTCTTTATGAAAGAAAGACGTGTAGTGGTACAATGAGCTGTATCTGCAATCGAGACGAAGTAACGTTTTGAAATAATTTAACCCGTAATGGAGAACTGGAGCCTTATATCGCTTTGTGTTCTGTTGGCTCTGACGGCGAGATGGGCAGTCTCTTTGAGCTCATATTCAGGTTGTAACGATAATCTCGGCAGTTAACGCTCCGATTTGTATATATCTTTTCATTTTTAAAGCTGTTTCTTGAAGTATGTTCACATTTATTCTGCTATTTTATGTGACGATGCAAGCAAAACTATGCAAAACGCTCCATATCAAAAGGATCCACGTTTTAGTTCTGTGTTTAATAGATGCATTTCTTTGGATGAGAATGAATGGAAACGTGTTTTTACTAACAGTTTGGAAGTGCTTAGTGTTCTGACGTGTTTGCTGCATACGTGGTCATGCCAAATTGCTTATTATTGCATATTAACGAGACACTTTTGTCCATTGCTTTGAGAATTTAACTTAATTGAAGAATCTGGTTGTATTACTCTTCTAAACTTATCTGGTAAACAAGAGTCTAGGGAGCCCTGGGGTCTCTACAGCGTAGGACGTCCCTTAAAAAAAGAAAACATTGCATGTCCCCTTCTTGCAAATCAACAGTCTCCCGCAGTGCACAGTGTTAAGACATAGAGATGTGTTAAAAGGTGTTGCCTGAAAGGGTACGCTTGTGTTGGAGTGGTGTTTGCTTGCAAGAAATCACCTGGAATGTAAATTAGTTTTGCCTGTTGCAAGAAGGAAGGTGCATGAAGGAACTTTTCATGCCTTCTTGTAGGTGCAGGCAAGCCACCAATGTTTGGGGACTATGAAGCTCAGAGACACTGGCAAGAATTGACCTATAATCTTCCTGTTCAGCAATGGTTTGTAATTGTTTGTGCAATATGAATAAGTTGATGGATAAAAGCAGCAATACACTCTGCCTCTGGGTGTCTTTCACCAATATATCTGTGTTTTGGAATTTGAAGTCTTGTTAAAACTTTCCCTTTGAAGAATTCCCTTTGAGGAACTTGTACATAATCAATCTGATTTTGCCACATTTCAGACTTGGTGATGGCCCTCAAATGTTTTGCATTATATAAATCACAAATTTATTTTTAAAAAGTCCTAGGAGAATAACAGTAACACTCTTCACTTTCAGTGTTGCAATGTTTTCAGGTCAGAATTGCATCCAGACTATGGGTACAGTAGTTAATTGCAGTTACCAGCTTTCATATTATTTTTGGATTCGAAAGACTGTTTTTGTGATTCATGATCTAAGAATATATAACTCTTCAGTTTCCTCTGTGTGTTCTCAATTGAGGTACTTCAATACCAGTGACAACAACCTCCTCTACTGGGGTCTTGATTATCCACCTCTAACAGCTTACCACAGTCTTCTCTGTGCTCACGTGTGAGTCTCTCTTTTCTCCTACAAAAATGAACATGGTTTAGACCGATAACTCCAGCACAAGTAAGTGTGCATTTCAGGAGTTGTGATGTAATGCGTTTCAGGTACTGATGTTTATTTAAGAACATGATTTACAGTTTACCATATATTTTGTTTTTAGTAACATTTTATTGAAGTGTCTGCCTGCAAAAATGTCTGAGCCTTTTTGTTTCCCCACAGAGTATTCTTTTTAGTCATTGTGGCCGAATGATTTAACATGAGAAATGGGCCAAGCGAATTACTCCAACGGGGAGTGCTCTTTTATTTTTACCTAAACCTTCTTCCTAGCTGCCACAAGCCTCCAGATATTTCCCTGTGATGCAGCAGAAACACTTTTGAAATGGATTTTATATGGTTTCTTTTTGCAGAGCTCGGTTAATAAATCCAGACTGGATTGCCTTGCACACATCACAAGGTTACGAAAGCATCACTCACAAGTTATACATGCGAGCCACAGGTAAGGGTTATTAGCATAAGCCATTTATGGAATTGACAAAAGGAATCCCATAATCCCCTTTTTTAATGAGCAATTACTCATGTGATGCAAAACGGTCAAACTGAGTATGCATATGTATGATATATAGTTCAGGTAGGTAGCTGCGTCAGCATGCGTAGGCTGCAAAGGAACAAGTAAGAGGTTTATTCTATGCTGTAAAGATAAGAAAGAAAACACAATGTTGTGTTTTCCTTCTTCTCTTTTCAGCATGGAATAAACCTATTACTTGTTCCTTTGTATGATATATAGCTTTCAAATATTTGAAGAATGGCGCATTTATGCAAGAGCCTGGAATTTTCATGCTCAGTAAATGCTGTAACTACATAGAAAAAAAACGTTGGCTGTAAATTAACACTGTTTTGTTTCATTCAGTTCTGGTTGCCGACATCTTAATATACATTCCAGTAGTCCTTCTGTACTGTTTCTGTTTGAGTGAAGGGTCTGCAAAAAAGAAGGTATGGGATTTTCCTTTCAAAGAAATGCCTTACCCACATATTCCAATTTGAGATAATTTCATCATCGTATTATTCTCCTTTCAGGTTTCTACAATGCTGTGCATCTTGCTGTATCCAGGACTGATTTTAATTGATTATGGACATTTTCAGTATCCTTGGAAGCAGGAAAAAATACATTTTTGCTCATGAAAAGGATGACCACATTTAGTATTACTTGCCTCAATTATCTTTCGTCAGTCGCACCGGGAAAGTATGAGTTAATGTACTTTTGTTTTTGAAGTATAATTTCCTTAACAACTGCACACATATAACTGTGTGAGTCTGGGTTTGGCCCTCTGGGGAGTGCTGGGCCTGGGGCAGGGCTGGGATTTGTTTGGCTCCTTCGCGTTCAGCTTGGCTCTGAACTACAAGCAAATGGAGCTATATCACGCATTGCCATTTTTCTGCTATCTCCTAGGGAAGTGTACTAAGCAGGGTCTGACAGGCAAAGGGTAAGTCAAAGCACTGTGTGTATTTCCGTTTTCACCCACAGTAGTGTACTGCAATTCAAACAGATGAATATAGCAGGCTCTACATATCTTCTACATACATTAGTTACAGAAATAGGGTTTGGCACTCTCCAGCTTCAGCAATGCTAGTCACTTAGCTGGGAAGCATCATGGGAGCTTTGTTAAACTCAACTTATTTGACAGTGACAATCTCTTCTGTGTTTTTTGAACTCTTGTTCACCCCAGCAGCTCAGAGAACTGAATGGCTTCTTCTTGTTTGTGATCGATCTGATGTTTTGAAAGGGCAGTTAAGATTTGAGATAGAAAAAAACAGTTTAGATGTCATCTTCATCTGCCATAAGGCATTTTGAAATCTAAGCTTGTTTGTGTTTTAACCAGCCTTTATCATTACGGTATCTAAATTATACACAATTACTCAGTTTATCAAGGCAATGAATAGTACCTTTGAGCGCTATACTAATCTTAATCGAAGATGTTGTATTTTAATGTGTGTGATCAATCCTGTGACTGTCCAGAATTACATCACAACCCTGTTACTGCACACCATAATGTTGAACCTTCTAACAATTCAAAAACATACAGTGGTACTAATAAATGCTTGTATGATGTGCATTTCAATGCATCAAATGCATTTCATTAGGACAGGGACACAGGTCAGCTACTGCTGAAGTACAACACCCATTTGGTGGCAGCCATTATGTGCTGGCGTCTGCCACCACACAACGGATCTGGTGATGAAGTGAGAAATTGCTTCTCTAATTGAATTAATGGAGAACTTTTGGGAGGCCAGATTGTGCAAGCCCACAGTGGAATTTAGCCAGGATGCCAGGGTTAGCAGGGTTAGTTCCTTATGAACAGTCACATGGAATCTTCAATGACCAAGCTGTCAGGATGTCAGTTAAATATGCCCTTCTTTGGATAAGACATACTACAGCACAGTGTTCATGTTCACCATGCGGGGACCATATTCTACTGCTGTGTTAATCCTGGTTCATAGGGTAGAGCACTAGCTATTGGTCTGCCAACACCACTCAAAATATAATGTACAGTACTAACACACTTATACTTTTTATTTAGCATTTATATTGAATGGTTAAAAATAAATACAGATTGGAGCCTGTGGTTGCTGGTAACAAATTATGCATTAGGGTAAATGTGCTATAACTTGCTTTGTATATGCAGTGGTGTACATTAATTTAATCTGCTGTAAAACCATGTCAATTGGAGACTAAATGTTTTGCACTAAGTAACAGAATATACAGTATGTACTATCCATTAAATCATGTTCCTGTAGTAAGCCGTATAAAGTGAAGTGTCAAAGTTTAAGATTCCATTTTCTGCAATCACATCAGAAACAATGAGAAAAAGGAAATGTGTATAGATAATGAAAACAAGAAATTGCTTTTCAAGAGCACATGTACATTGCATGCTGGGCAGATATTCTTTCAGAGTATTTTTTGAAGCAGTAAAATTTAATGCTGTCACTAATGTCCTCACATTTGTTGATTTAGTAACAATGTACCAAGGGCATTTGGTGGCAAATGTATCAGTGGATTAGATTGCTTGCAGCAGAAATGTGCAGATGACACACAAGCTATGCAGGAGTTCTTCAGCTATTCCTGTTTGAACGACTTCATGAGAACACGCATTGACTAGTGGGATAGGCTGTGCTTCAAGAAAATGTTTTAATGAAGAATATAAAATGACATGGCCCAAGTGGCATTTTTCAAGATCTCAGCATTTGCAGAATAATTTAATCTACTTCATTTGGTTTGAACTGGTTTGATCTGAATCCATCTTTCTAACACATCTTTCAATTATGCAGCTATTGTGATCAATTTCTTGTGCATTGTCTTCATTTATAAAATACATTTGGGTCTCTAAAACTGTACAGCTTTCCTAAGGAGAAGTTTACCTTTGAATCAATGAATTGGTCAAATTTAAGGTATTTTGACATCCTGTACCCGTATGCTGTTGTGAACATTATTTCTGTAAGCGAATGTTTGTGTGCTGCAGATTGGTCCACCTGATGAAGATTGCAGTCACAGTGATAGGCTCCTTTGCTCTTTGCTGGCTGCCTTTCCTGTCAGACTCCCAGCAGATCTTTCAGGTTCTCCGTCGGCTCTTTCCTGTGGACCGAGGTCTGTTCGAGGTGAGCTCAAAGCACCAAGGTCACAAAGGAGAAAGGGACACATTTCTCTCGTCAACCTGTGTCAGAGTCTTTTTCCTTGTGGCTTTGTTCATGTCATCTTTCTCACTTCAAAATTCACCTTCTTCTTGCTTCCTTCTGCTGGTTTTAGTTTGTTTTTTTTTGCTGTTGTTTAAGTGGAAATAATTTGTCTTCTAGTTAAAAGGCTATGGAAAAAAATAGATTTCAAGACAAGTCTTTGTTGGATATCAATCCACATAATTTATTGGGTGGGCATCTCATCACTTCATTGAGATCCGTACATAAGCAGTGTTTTGTTGCCAGGACGGCACTGTGTGGGTCTGTGAGAGATGATTTAAAAACTTTGGCAGCGGTACCTGTCCTTGAAAACCCTATACAGAATGTGAGCCAGCGCTATGAAGCAAAGCATCCAGTGTATGTTCACATCTGAAAAAATGTAAACCATGCGTGGCAAAATGAAGAATTAAGATGCATCTGAACTGGAACTGGAAAGTGAAAGTGTAAAAAAAAAATCAGATGTACTTGAAGCCACTAAAAAAGAGGTTGTGTTCTTCAAACAACTACCCCCCCCCCTCCAAAAAAAATTGTTTTTAAATTGAGAACCTATTAAAAAATAATAAGTAGATGACGTAAGTCTTTATTTATGGAATATAAATACAAAATAACAGGGCATGAGTGACTTTATAATAGAGCTGGAATGCAAGTGGCTCGATTGGATGTCAGACTGAACTAATTGTGAAATTGTACACGTAAGCAGGCCTGAGTAAGTTTATACTGAGGCGCCTGTAGAACATTCTCTGTCTCCAGTTCCCTTTTACGAAAATGGCAACAAATGCTGATGGCTGTAAGATTCTTCGCTGGCTTATAGGTGAGGTGCCTTACACATTTGCCTCTGTGGCCTAACCCAGTCTTCATGTGTTCCTTTCAGCAGATTCAAGGAGCATTCTCCCTGTTATTTCGAGTGGGTTGGTAGCGAAGCTGTTGGTTAGCTAGCCTGCGAGCAATAATGTTCACACAGCTGTGATTTGGACAGCTGTGTTTGAGAAGAGTGTACAGTATCATGGCCACGATAGCCAAGGCTGTCAGTTTGATATCAAATTTGATCCAAGCACAACTGCTAAAGTCTTCAAGCCTTTTATAAATCGCATTGCACTTCTTCATTCACCACAACCAAAAAAGGGAGGAAAATGCTTGTGTTTTGGAATCATTTTAACAGCAAGAACTTTGAGGTTGTATTGAGTGTCGGCTCGCCTTTTAATATTGTTCTTCTAGATGGTTTGCTTCCAGAGTGTATTTCTGGTGCGCGGAAATAGAGCTAATCTGATTAGCTGGATATGCTTAACCCAGTGTCCTTTACGTTTACAAATAAGCACATACTTTTTTTACCTCCCTTGTGTTCGATTGACAGGAAAATTTATTGCAATATAAATTCTTCAGTGTGACCCCTCCCATAAAACAGAACCACAGAATGTCTCTGGAATTTTCATTGCACATTCATTTGGGAAGTGATTACAAACCAGCATACTACTTTTATTTTAAACCGCTAACTACTTTAAAATAGCTTTATGTTCTGTGTATGTTTAATAATTCTAACTTGTGGATGTTTTGTAATTTAACGAGTCACTTTTTCTTCATCTTTTTGCCAAACGTGTAATCAGAATAGTAACAATATAAGTATGGATTTTGAGGATTGTGTATGAAAAATGAGGATTTCTTTTAATGTAATTTTGTATGTTTGTTAGGATAAGGTGGCCAACACATGGTGCAGTCTAAGTGTTCTGATTAAGATAAAAAACCTGGTGTCTCCTCAATCACAGCTATATCTCAGGTAACCTTTTCCTTTTCCTTCTTTTAAACTTCTTTCTTAATCTTCTGCTCAATATCCTTGACAGAACATCTAAACTACTTGTACAAAATATAGTGCAGGGAGAGTAAGGCTAAGATATAATGACAGCTGAAAAGAGCTCCTGGTATCTGATCAACAGCTGGTAGGGACACTTTAACCAGAGTGCAGTTATTTTAAACTAAGCAAGGTGCTGCTGCATTAAGGGGAAACAAAAACATTTTAATAATTTATGGGATTTTATCTTGAGTGGTAAATATTTTCAATTTAGGTAGTCTAATCTCAAAGTTCTGTATCCAGCCAAGGTGTGAAGACTATAACTGAATTATACCTTTCTCCTTTCTTGTTTTAAGTGCCCTTGTGTGGGGATCTAAATTCAGAGGTTCTTTCAATCCATAATAGAGCTATTCTGCTAAATCTGATAATACTAAGGATTTAGAAGGCTCAGTTTACTGCCACATTAAAAATGTACAAATCATTAGTTTTTTTAAATAGGATAACTAACTACTTTAGTAAGATATGCAGGCAGATTGTTCTGTAGCTGGTCTAGGGATTAAAGGAAGGATAGATATCTTATGGATTATGGAAATATATGTATACTGTTTGACTTTTTGTCTGGCTCAGTCAGGGGCCGAGTCATGTTTAGTGCAGAATGTTATTGGATATGTACAGGTGCTTTTTGTCTCCTATATCTGCATCCATGAGTAAGAGTTCAAGTGTTCAGCACTTCAGGGTAGTTAAGAGCTTTGGTACATTCAAGGTGTTCTTCAAAACTCTGTAATTTACAGTAGTGAATTGCAGTCAACGACTGTAATTTCTCTGTTCTTTTTTCAGTTTTGCTGCCACTCTTCTCTTTCTTTTGCCCTCTTGTGTAAAATTGTTCATTGATCCTACATTCCGGGGATTCAAACTAGCACTGGTGAGTATTGTGATAGTACTTAAAGTTTCTTTCATTTTTAGATAAATTTTGCTCTTTATATCCCAGTGCTTGAATAATAAAATAATTCATTCTTTTTTCAATTTTAGGTGAACTGCTCATTGGCATTTTTTCTATTTTCCTTTCAAGTTCATGAAAAGTCAATTCTTCTCCCTGCACTGTAAGTCCAAAAACTTTTGTTCCCTTTTGTGTGTGTCAACTAATGCTGGCGTCGAACTACACAACTTTTCCTAAGATTTTCAGTAGTAGCCTTCATTTACATAATCGTAAGAAAATCACAGCGAGATGTAGAGAGTCGCAGCACGCGCTCGTTACCCTCTGTTTGTAGTGTGACACCCTCAGCGACTAATTCATAGCGCTCTTAACAGCCCCTATGACTCTCTGCGATTCGCTATGATAAAATCAAACTGGTTGGATTTTCTCATAGCAAGTCACAAGTTGTAGGGGTTGGCTCTTGTGTCTGCGACAGTCAACAGCCACTCAACCGGAAGTACAATGCGGCTCCAAGGAAAGAAGGAAAGCGAGTGTTTTGGACTGCAAATGGAGGAGAGGCTCGTCGAACTTTGGAGCCAGCACAGATGTCTGTTTACTTTCGTGCCATGCCTTTTCTCTTATTCCGGTGTGCTCCATGTTAATTGGCTGCCAAAATGAGGTGAATTCGCAGGACTTTCGCAGTGCAATATGAGATTTGGAACCGTGATGAAAAGTTGTGAGGGAATCGTGTAATTAGTCACCCCCTGCGATTCCAAGTCGTATAATTGACACCCTCTAGGACAGAAAAGGCAGCAAATTTCAGCAACTGCAGTCATTAAATTTAACATGCTCTCTGACTAGAAGTGGTGAAGAGTCATGTAGTGTGGATTTTGTGAGAAAAAAAAACCCACGGGAAACAACAGTTTGTTTAATGGATTTGATGAACAATGCATTAACCAAAAAGCCTACATGAACCAAGCTTCCAATATCCATCTTAAGGGTACATGTTCAAGTTAGGGCCTGTCCTTGAATCTTTATTCAGAGTCTGAAACGCTCCTCAGATGGACTTAAGCCATTGAGTTCCTGAATATAGACTACACATTACACTATAAGCATCCTTATCTTTACTTTTTAGGCAAACTAAGTTTACCTTTAAATAACAGCTCTAGTTAGAAGTGGACCCAAATGGAAATGGCTGACCAAAAGTCATACTTGACTTTTTTCTTAAATTAGGGATATTAATTGTTTACAGCACAGTGTATAAAAAGAGAGAGCAGCTGTATGCTTAGTTCTTACAGCATGGATTTTGTTACAGATTTTACTTATCTATTAATCTAGATTATCCAGATTGTTGCTTTATTAACTATTGAGTTATGTCTTGCACCTGTTTAAAAATCAATCAGTAATGCGTGGTCCTGGATTTGGAAAGAATGCATTTCAGCAGCAAAGTATGTTGTTTGAATAGGATCAATTATGAAGCTGTTGGAATGGGTGTAACAAGATCAGGAAAGCAGGACCTATAATTACTTGATCAGTGTAATATGGAACCTGGCTCAATGAAGTATGCAATCCTATCAGTAAAATACATATTTAATCTTGATTGAAATAGCTTGGCCTTGAGCTGTAATGGTTATATATTTTTAATTATCCATTCAGTGTGAAGCAATTTCCACGTTATTAAATTTAATTTGTCTGTTATTGGTATTTTACACGCCATCAATAGATATTAACCGTCAGTACTACTGCAGTTTGGCCTTAATATAATTTTTAATGCACAAGATTGTTTATTTTTTTTAGGCCAGTTTGCTTATTAATCAGTGAACTTCCATTCATGACCACCTGGTTCTTACAAGTGACTACATTCAGGTATGTTTTTGGACTCCCCTTTTACTAAATTATGTGATAAAATGTGAAGTTTTAATGTAAAAATTGGTACTTTTGTCTCTGTTAACACTGATATTGATTTAAGTGTATTTATATTTCTTTTGTAATAAAATATTTGTAATTAGAGATTTAAGAATTCACAATCACAGTAAGTTAGTTCAGTTCAACAATGCTAACTTTTGTCAGCTGGTAAATTCTTACAGCACATATTATTATGAGGATGTTACAGGATTATGTGTCCTAGGGTAAAACAGGACCTTTTTAACTACTGGTAACTAATTGTAAACTATGGATTGAATGTTCCTCACAGCCAGAGAAATTTTACTCAATCATTTTTTAAACCTGTAAAATGAAATTACATTTATGAGTTTAAGTGTTTTTTTTATTTTTACTCTGTACACCTAATTCGTTAGTAACCTAAGGGTTGCATTGAATGTGGAATGGGATGCAGTCTCATACATTTCTTTTTCATTTGTGTAAAAATCTAGCATTGTGTATAGCCATGCGTGTTTCCGATATCAAGTACTGTCAACAGCTGTCAAAGCCATCCTTTGTATATTTAATTACATGTCCATGTATTTTTAAACTTTTTTTATCCTATTCATAACTTATATTTCTCTTCTGTTTTTACAGTATGCTCCCTCTTCTCCTTAAGGATGGCTTGCTTTTACCATACATTGTCACAAGCCTGGCGTTCCTTTTAATCTGCATGTCTCCGTTACCTGTGCTGGAACGTGCTTCTGAAGAAGACATGAAACTGAGATCACTCTTCCAGCGGATAACAAAATCTGTACCATGGCTAAACACTTCATTACTTGTTAAGTCTGGAGTAAGTAACATTTCTATTACTGCATTTATATTTTTATGTACACCTGGTTTCTAGAACACTACTGAGGATATTCATTTAATGGGTAGCACATCTATTCCATTCATATTCAGTAACTGTTTAGTCCAATACTGCTGAACCCAGCAGACGGTGGGTACAAGGCAGTAAACTGTAATGGACAGGCATGCAGGCTGGGTACATGAGCACAGAGATGCACACACAAGGGGAGACAATTTGGAGAAGCCAATTAACCCAGATGGTATGTCTTTGGACTTTGAGAGGAAAATGGCGCACCTGGCGAAAAAAAATCAACAAGGCCACATGGAGAACGTATAAGCTTTCAAACTCAGGACTTGAAAGCCAGGAGGCAGCAAACTAACTCACCATGTCGCCCCTTAACGAGACAGATGTACATTTATTTTACTTTTATCAGTTAATATCAGTATAGAAAAGGAGCCAGCACTGATTTCAGGATGTGCAGTTTCGTAACGGCATTGAGGCCCATGAACACTAAATTGCACAATACTACTACTGCAGTTGTAGAAATACATAGCCACCATATAAAAATCTATTAATTTGAATTTAGCACCGTGGTGTTTGTGTAGGTGACTTGGCAAAAGAAAAAAAATATCAAGTAAAAACATCCCTCTTTAGTGTTTTAATGGACACTGTGCATTTTTTTCCTCCATGAGCTCTACTCCCAAATAAGTCATGTTGGAGACTAGGAGAGATAGCTTTATATAGTGGGAGTCATTAACAGGTTCGCCTAAGAATATTTACACAAGGGGCATAAAGAGGCTATGTGGTGTGTATAGTGTTTCATTAGCGGCTGGAACAGTTCTTGTCACTTACTTTAGTGATCCTTTGGTTTGCTCCTAAATAGACATGTTAATGTTGAAAGTACTGCAGCATGTGCCGTTTTCCTTCTTGTCCAAACTAAAATAAATGTTGGCCGCAGGGCTGTTACAAATGTTCTTGTGATGTTTTAACTTCTAAATTAAATTCTTGATCTTATTTTACAGTTTGTTCTTTCTGTTCTCTCCATGGCCGTCTTGAGTTTTATGAGCGCAGCACTGAGCCCCCCAGCAAAACTGCCCGATTTGTTTCCCGTTATGGTGTCTCTCTGCTCATATGTACACTTTGTGGGATTTTTGATATATTTCAATATGACTCACCTGATGGAATCACCCAGTAAAAAGAACCAGAAGAAGAAAAACTGAACTCTCTAAGAATGTGGTCTGGGCAGAGGACCAACCTGGTTTGAGAATCTCCAGAATGGGAATTCTTTAGATAAGCTGAGCCTAACATTTTCATGATGGGTAAGAGTTTTAACTTCCAAAAGGGATTAGATTTACAGAGAACAACCGCTTTAAGGTTCAAGCAGATACATAAATAATGTGGACATTCTTCTCTGTTGAAAAAATATTCAATTTTATTAAAATACTGTTTTACAATTGGTGTTCATTTTTTCTATTGATATAAAAAACAGCTGGGTCTGCAAAACATTTAACTTGTTTTTACTGTTGTGAAAAAGACTACATATTCTATTTTAAAATTTACATCTCAATTCCTTATTTGTATCGTTTCTTCAAAAGCACTGAAAATAATTTTGCTTTTTGCTCACTATGAATTTGTCAGATACAGTATACCCACACTACGTTTAGATAATGATTTATAAATAATATGCTCTAAATGCATTAATATCATAAGATTGCAGCTGTACAAAATTAAAAAAAAAAAAACAGTGCCTTGTGGTAAATTACTTTTGTGAACATGTCATAAAGCTAAAATACCAGGGAAAAGTATGAGCAATCATTTTTTCTGCAAGTTAACGACTGGCATTAAAAAAAATCCATTACAACTATAAATGTTATCAGGTCACAAAGGAGCCTATGTACGTTCATCTGCTTCTACCCTCCAGTTATTCTGTGGGTTTTAAAATTGCAGAGAACACAGACTAGGGCAGTGCAGTGGGATTCAGTGTCCTTAACTGCTTTGGAAAACTGCATACGTGGAATTGTGACCCACAGCAAAGGAGGAATTCAAGAGGAAAGATGTCAGCAGAGCGAGGAAGCTTTACTTTCCACTGTAAATGAATGGCAAGAGGTTAGCGTTGGTCACTAAAGGGATGACTCGTCACAGCTTGCTTTCGCCTTGTCACATTCACAAGGGATGCCTGGCAGAGTTTTTGTGCCTCCAGCCTGCTATATAAAAACATTAGTTTTGATTATGGATGTATGTGCTTTGTCCTTCAGATGGCCTCTAAGGGTGATAAAGTGAGAGCTATATGATCTACCTTGGGCAGAAATAGGAAATGTTTCTGTGCAAGACCAGCTGTTGCATAGGTCCGGCGGCTGCACCCCACAAGCACTCCAAAAACGTTTTACCACACACTTTGCTACAGCTTGGTACGACTAACATCCCCTTTCAAATTGCTCAATAATCCAGTTACTGCCTAATTAAAAACCTTTATACTTAAGATCCTCATTTTGATTGTTTTTCCAGACCTGGTAAAATTGACACTTGTTGTACTGTCTGACGCAGTCTTGCATACATACTGTATGTAATACTATACATTTAAATTAAGAACCAATACACCGTTCCCTCTTCATTGTTCTGTAAGCTGTAAAAAAAAATGAAAGGCATAAACATTAATCACACAAATATATTTGATCATTTCCAACCCGTATACAGTCTAAATAGCACATTTTCAGAAATAAAATAAGAGGCAATGTTTTAATCATAGCCTCTTGCCTTGTCCAGCATATATGAAAACATTTATATATATATATGAAAAGTACTAAAAAAACAATATTGTACTAGTAACATTTTTAAGGTATTATTTGTTTTTTGGACCTACATTTACATACATAGATTAAATCACTACTGGAAATTATGGCCAAAAGCGAAGATAAAACAACTGAGTTTAAAAAGAAGTATTTGTTTAGAATGCTTATGCAAATGACCAAAAGAGTTACCTTAATTCATGACTGATTTTAGGAAATCATAGGAGCTGCCATGCTGAATAGAATCTGTGAAATAATCAGAATAATCCCTCATTAAAATCATACCAACATGATTTTAGAATCATTCTTGTTTTGAAGTGTAGCAATGAAATGAACTTCCACGTAGTATTTTTCAAGGGAAGTTTGTTTTGATTTCCATTTCCACTAGAAGTGTTGCCTCAATATGCATACATATAGTTTTATTATTATTATTATTATTATTATTATAATAAGAACAATTTAAATTCAGACTGCCAGTATTTGTTTAATAAAAACAATTTTATCATTTACCACATAATGCATTCAAATGTCATATTACATAAAAAAACTTCCAGGTTAAATGTTTAAACAAAAACCTGAAGAATAATACTGAATTTAGAGACAGCTATGACCATGGGAACACTCCAGTGAAAGGAGACATCTTTAAACAAATGGTTGTAGGAGATTGGAAAAAGTCTATTCAGGCATCCTGTCTTCTTGCGAGAAACTGCTGGATAAGATTTTGGATCAATTAATTACTAAAATCCAAATGAGTTAGATAGGCTGCTTCCTCTCATTTTCAAACTTTAAAAATAAAATACAGAAAAATTAATGTTATTCTATCGGTATTCAATCATGCATCATAACTCTTTGACATTAAAAAGTAATTGCTGATCCTTCCTGTTCAAAAGTGGTTTTATATTTAATTACTAATTGCAGATATGTTCAATCGTTAAAAATGAACCAAACAAGTAAATTCTTTCAATCCAATGTAATTGGTTTACTAGATATTTGATCCTCTGCTAAACCACTGTGAAAAAAATCCAATTTGTTTTATTACATTTTAAGGAATCTTTCTTTAATACAGCCTATTAAAGCTGCCATACAAATCTCTCACTACATGCTCTTATCCATTAACTGATCAATTTTTATATTGCTGATGTGTCCCCTTTTCCCTCATTTTGTCATCTTAAAATTCATATTATATAGGATTTTCCTATGGAAAAATTGCAATAAAATTTGTAACTGCTGGCAAATGTGAATGAGTCAGTAACCACACATGACTAAAATCCTACAGAGAAAATAAAATTTGTTTCTGTAGTAAGCAGAACTGTTTAAATGTTATTTATTTTTATGCTCCAAAGAAAATATATTGTGAAGTGCAACATTGATTTAGCACATAACAATGTCTCTGTACAGGCCGTAGGTGAAAATTTATGAAACCTTTGCACAACTCCTTTAATTGAATTTTCCAAATCTCTCACCACACACAAATAATCAATACCTTCTGCAGAGAAACTTGCTCAGAATTATTACAGTCTTTCTTTTCAATTCTGTTGTCATCAGCACATACTAGGCACCTAGATATTTGTAATGCTTGGACAGCTCAGTAATTTATATCTACCAAAAGCCTAATTGCTCACAAAAGTGACTTTTCTAGAATGCTTACCAAACTTTTGTTAACCTAAAGTGCTTCTTTTAAAGAACACATACAGTTAGTTCACTGTAAGTCTGTCTGTTACAGCTACAGACTTGATGTGTGTATTCTGCAGGTATACTGCTCTACTAATTATTTTCTTCTTCTTCTTCATCTGTGTTATTATCAACTACCTAGGTACAGTAGGTCTGAATAGTTCATAGAGAAAATTCCAGTATCAGAAAAACATTGAAAAAGTTGCTTAGTTTCCCCCCCCCATTTGAACTATCTTTTCTACTAACTGAAGTCCCTTTAATTATACACAGATCTATTGCATGTTGATGTTTTTTTTAAATGTCTTGAAGGACAGAGCTGGCTGTTATATGCTCATTAACTCCTCCAGTAATATTACTGAGTTCTTGTCAAAAGGATTAAAGGTCCATACAATTGTCATCAATGTTCATCTCTACCCTAAGTCTGACTTTTTAAATTGATTTATTTAAAAATACACTTTATGCCACAAACTTGTGAGGTAACCATATATTACATGTGACAAATGTTCATACATACTGTTCATAAGATCATGCTTATAGGAAGTATTGTCTAAAAAGCATCAGCACATTCACAATGCATGTTTCAGGAAATCACAGACCACACAGATCACTGGCCTTATGCAGTAATATTAGCTTTAGAAACATACTGTAAATGGTTAGGTTACACTTCTCTCTTAAGTCAGTAAAAGGAGTTCAAGTCGTTCTCAGGAATTTTAAATAAACATTTTACACTGCGTAAGCTAATGTCTTGCAGACATGATAGGTTTTGGATTACAACTATCTGTCCAAATTTCACGCTTTAACAAATACTGTACTGTTTCCTTACACAGCCTTGAAAAACAATTTGTTTACTCTAAATGTAAGTCTCCAGGCAACAATGGCTCTATTCTCCATCCAAGTAATGGGAAAAATGATAAACGGATTCCTTAATAATGCAGGCTATTGACTGAAAAATGTTCTGTATTTTGTTGTTTTAAGTAGGTTGTTTATGCAAAATAAATAAATTTCATGCTTAACCATGTGATAAAAATGTGACATTCCATCTGGACTTAGCCACAAACAGCACATATTTTAAGGTTCTTGACTGTAACTAATTAAAACAATTTTGGAGTACCATATCTAAAAAAGCTAACAAAACTGAACTTCCAACAATCATTCCATTCAGTTTCTACAGATCTCCATTACGTGGTTGAATCACAAGTATAATTTGGCTGAAGGCATAGTGTGTGCCTGAAATAATTTTGTTAATGACCAATGCAGCAAGTAACAGACTTAAACTAGATTTATGTAAAAACAAAATGTTGTTTTTCCTCAAAATAATTGTTGTCCGGACACAGAGTTATATACATTCATTAAAAAAAAATAACATTAAAAGTAAAAAATATATATCTGTGCTAAATAAAAGTGTATTTTGATATTGAATGGTTTGGGTGTTTGTCTCGACTGTATCCTGTGCCTTGAAATCTAAACACATTTAAAAAATAAAGCTTAAGAAAAAGTTTTCATTTACTAACTACTTTTCTAAAAAAGAAAAGGTCAGAAAAAAATTAGAATTAATCTGAATTTATTATTTATAATAGATGAGAAATGTTATCTTTTTGATATGATATCAAAACATTTCCTAAGTGCACAACAGCATTTTCTATGACAATATTCAGTATCTTTTTACAGCTAAACAATTTCAGTGTGGTTTACTGTAGGTATTTCTGATAAAGATATTTCATATTTAATTAAAAAATATAAACTGTTTTGTTTTAAAATGACTGCTGCCTTTAAACTCACCCTTATCATATTCTTAGAAGCTGCAAAATGGAACAGTGTGTCTGTCCTGTGATCTTAAGGCCATTATTACCCCTGGAGGTTAGAAACCTAAAATACCTTCAGCAACCAATGAGTCAATTTTATGTGTAATTGGAAACAGCTATAAATGCAGAGATTAAAAAAAACATGTTTGTATGTGATATACGCCACTGTTCCTTACTTTCTTATGTTTGCAAGCTATTTTTAAAAACAGTGTTGTTTAATTAGAAATGGTTATTTGACTTATGTCATACTTTGGCAAAGAAATTAAAAACATTTTTCTATTTCACTGCAAAAATCAAAATTGTAGTCAATTTTATAGAATGCAATTAAACATAAAAGCTCTGTAATCAAACATTTTAGTTTCACATCCTAAGGAGTAATCAATACTTGTGCAAAGTATGTGTCTAGTTTCTGGAGAAAAGAAGCATTGAAAACATTTCCAATCATGATCTTTTTTGGAATCAGGCAGCATTTGAAAATAAAGTAATATTTAGAAAATTTAAAAAGTATTTAGGATGAACAAAGATAAACCACAAAGAGATCAGTACCTTTCAGCCTTGACAGGTGAATTCCATTCTTATTGAGATATTCTTCCATTTGGGCAACTGAAAAGAGATGTTTTTAATTTACAAAATGAAAAAACAAAAACAATTATACAGTCATATTTGGTGAAACATCATACTGTCATATGCACGGCATTAATTACACATTTGACATTGCTTGTATAAGGACTATATGAACATATGATTAAATTTTTAGCTTCTTAAAGTTATGAAATGAAAGTAAAATTGATAAAGTGATACTCACTCAGGTCCCTGTGTCTGTGGAGTTCAGCCTGTAGGTCAGCAGACTCTCTTGAGAAGAAACTTTCCAGCTCACAGCTGCCCTCTACAGGCTACACAAGAGACAAAAATGCAAAAACATCTGTTCCTTGGGTTCATTCACAGAGGTTTTCACTCAGTGGCAGGAATGCGTGCTATATAAATAGTCTAGTACTATTTTCTTCTTTGCCAATCCTTTTTACGTTACAGTTTCTCTCAGTTATAAATATGCCACTGTTAATAAATCTAGAGCAGTTAATCGGGCCACCAAGATTATTGCAGATCCCTCCCACCCTGGTCATCCTTTATTTCAAAAGCTTCCCTTCCGGAAAATGTTTCAAGGCAATCAAAACCAAAACCAACAGACACCTGGACAGTTTGTTCCCAATGCCATACCCTTGCTAAACCAGCATCCTCCCCCAATGGCTCCCCATTTCAGCTGAAAAAAAACTTTGAACTATTATAACTGCTTAGCTCATACATCTTGTATATCTTGAGCTTAGGAACTGGCGCGTCTTCCCTACATGGTTACGTAGATGCATCTTACTCCTCAGACCATACTTTCGCACATTGTCTGGACTTGCCATGTGTTTTGAACATACTAAAATGCTTATTGTTCGTATATTTGCACTGTACTGTAAAATGTGAATGTGCCCATGTCCATATATGCTGTAATGTCTACATGTTCCATACCGTAAGTACATATTGTGACTGTGTTGTGACTCACCCATCTTTTGTATATTGTCTAATGTTACTATGTCAGTAATGTTAATGCTCTTTTTGCACCTGTGTGGGTTTTGTGTTGAGCAGGTTCCAAAAGTACCAGGGCCACTTCCTGTACCTGACACGTACTGGCGAATAAAAGCAATTCTGATTCTGTTCATAAAGGAAGTTATCACTTCAGCCTCAAAAGGCCAAGCATTCTCATGTCTTTAAAATATGCTAGAGATCGTGATTATAAAAATATACTGATTAACAAAATCATAAATGCACTGTATAATGATTTAACACGTATATAATTTTGCCGATACTAGAAAATAAAGATATATAAAGGAAACAAATCTATTTATCTATTTATCTATTTAAGATTGCAGAACTAGGACAATCTTAAAGAGCATAAAGAAATTTTGCTTTGCATAATTTTAGTCTTTTAACACTTTAGTTTGATGGATAAATTGATTAAAGGATGACACGGTGGGACAGTCGTTAGCCTTGCAGTCCTGGGGCCCTACATTAATTACAATTCCCATCTGTGTGGAGTTTGTATGTTCTCCCCATGTTTGCGTAGGTTTTCTCCTGGTAGGTTAACTGGCTTCTGGGAAAAATGCCCCTGGTGAAAGTGCATGTTTGTCTGTGTGTCTGCCCTGAGATGGACTGGCTATCCCATCCTGGACACTAATTTGCATTGTGTCCCTTGCTTGCTGGGATAGGCTCCTGCTCCCCTACCACCCTGAAATGGATGAAAGCTTTTTTTAAGGGCATTTTCCTGCTTCTCATGATGCTAGCGAAACATGACAGTAATACGTACCAGTAGCATTTCCAGCTGTTCCCTAGCCTTGAGAAAATTCTTAGCTGATGCTTGCAATGCAGTTCTTAACCTGTTTAACATACAAAAAAGCAAAAGCCATTTTAGACCTTTATCAATCTGATATTGCTGGATGAATACAAAGTATTGCCTCTTCTTGTATCTCCGTTTAGCATTTCTCCGTTGCATTTTTTTGGGGGTGAAGATGTTATCAGAACATTTCAAATATCATAGTCTCAAGCTAAATCACAACCTACGTTTCAGGAATATTATAATGGACGAAAACTGTCTTTTTCGATTTCAATTGAAGAAGAATTTTTCTTCTTTGAAAAACCATATCCAATTGTTGTAGAGCCAAGTAAACTATTAAACACAAAGGGTTACTTAAATTAGTTTGTCCTATGCCCCAAATATAACAATTTGTTTGCCAGAGTCAGTAAATAAATTTAAATGGGGAAAAAAACATTTTTCAGCTGAGCATACACTAGACCAGACATTTTCCTTCTTGTTTACGTGAACATTTCCTGCTGCCAGCAGAAATACAAACCTTTCTGTTTGTGTCACGGACATCTGTTTTTTTAAACAATCAGCAGTATTTCCATTGTTATCAGAAGAACCTGAATAAAATGTATAATATTAGAAATGTTAATTGGCAAGCAGCACTACAAAACAGCAATACTGAATATTATTACTCAACAGTATGAGATACAGTATACAGATATAGACCAAGTGCCTACAGACCAAGTACCAGGTCTTTCAAGCAAGGGTTTTGACTGAGAAAAATAGTACTCATTAGATATACAGAATTATGTAGCATCAACTGTTCTAAATGAATTTTCTCTAATGTATTTTTTTCTTAAATCCATAACTACAACCTGCCATGCATTTACAATCATGACCATGACTGAAAACATACACAATTGTCAAAAGCTTTGAATGTCTTTAAAATAGTCAGCTGAACTTGAACCAAACTACTGTACATCTTAAAAGAAGAATGTTAGCCTGCAACACCTTTTCTTTTCCCGGCAGACGTGGGACAGGGATGAGCTGGACTCATCTGACAGGTTCCTGTCGTGGGAGAAAACGCTTTCCAGTAACCGGGCAAGCATTGTTTTTTAACTGGTGTTGTTCCATTCTGCTGGGGACAAGAGAACAAAAAAATACTTAGTTGAAGACAGCACACCATTTCAAAAGTCATACTTGTCTTGTGTTGCCTGCTCAGTGAATTCCCCAAACTTATATTTTTATTAATCCATTGATAGGCTGGATTCATTAAATTATATGTAATGCAAATAAGAGAAGTGAAATAATAACTCACTATTATCGGGTCTACTGTGAATTGTATGACTTTCAAGTGATTTATTTACAGATAGAAGGTGTATACAACACTTTAAAAAACAGCTTGCCTTTAATGTATTTAAGATAATTTTAAATTAAGAAGTGTAGGAATAATAAAGGACATACTCACTTTTTCTATTTCGGGATCTTCCAGACGGAGTGATCTTTTAACCCTACATAGGTTAAAGAAAAAGAATACACTGCCATTGTATGTCTAAATGAAACAATGTGTCTAAAACAATAAGGTTTTTTTTAGAACTGTCAGGTTACGTTTCCTCCCTGCGAGCTTAACCAAGCACTACAGGCTGTAAAATCACTTTAATCTTAAAAAAAAACACACTAAAGCTAATTTAGTTACCTATTCGCGATACAATCTGTCTTAGAGACATATGTATTAAAAGCAACAAAATCCAATTATTTTCGAAATAAAATACTCAATCAGGATAGTCCGCTTCTAAAATGTATTTTGAAACAAATTAAGACAAAAGGTATGTAAATAAAATTCGATACACCTACGGTAGTTTAGATTTCATTTCAATTTTATACGCTTTCCCCCGAAAAACGAGCCGTTTTTTCAAAAGTGTTTGGAAATTGGCGGGTTCCAACTTCATATATTTCCGTCCGGAAACGTGAACTCAAATCACACATATAGAGATAACGTATTTTAAAAACTGACAAAAAATACATAATACAAGAATATATAATATTATTCTTTGATTAATGTTATTTTTATGCATGTCTTCAAATACGAGGTATATGTTTTTTTGTTTCTATTAAATCTTTTTTTGTATTTTGTTTGCTGTTATCGAGGAAGTCTGGTCATTTTCTTTGTTTGCTTCCGTGTTATTATAGGGAGTGGACCGGATTTAAGATTGTTTACATGGCAACGGGATTTCGTAGGGCTTGTGTTTTCCTCTAGGTTTCTAAAGTAAAATAGAAAAGAAAATGCTGTAGCGATTTTACGTTTTCGTTATAAAGTAATGTTACAAGTTAAAAATAAGTTTTAAAAAGTTAATCAAGTATACCTTAAACTAAATACATCACAAATCTGAATATAATACATTTTAACAGTATTATTTGTCTTTCGGTAAATATTAGTCATTTTTTGTATTTATTACATTTGAGAATGACATCGTATACAGCACCTGTAGCAGGCAGTCATTCCGAAGAAGGGACATTCTACAGGAATTGCAGAGCGGCGTATGTGGCTGTTTTTAGATCTAGTTTAGTGAATATTTCTTCCAAGGAGGAGCTATGTTTGGGTAAATACACGCAGTTTAAATTTGCCATGAATGTTTCATTTCAAACCATCCTATTTGAGATATATTTTTCTATATAATGTAATTTCTTTGAAGCCTTCCTAAGGATTTCTATCTGATATTCTGTCAAATCTCAGCCAGGAATCCCTTCATCAGGGCTTCACAGACAAGGCAATCACAAAAAATCTTGTCTGATTCGTTAACAGTCCTGCAGCAGGCTGGGCGGAATCCTTCTCGGAAGGTTCTCGGCAAGTACTGGACTCCACGAACTACCAAGCTGAATTTTGACGATTTCTGTGAAATACTTAAAAAGGAAAAACCGACAGAAGAAAGTGACCTTATCAAGGCCTTCAGAACGATAGACCTAAACAGTGATGGATACGTGACACACAGTGAACTTTTCAAAGTCTTAACCTCTGTAAGTAAAATAATAAAATACAATATACAAATGAGTTAAGATTAGTTTCCCACTTCAATGTTTTTTTATAACTTCCTTCCATAGGTAAGGTTAATTTTTGATGTTATCGTACAGCATATGAAATGTCTTAATAGACAACAATTGTTTGAGACTTTATTACAAATTGTTGCCCATCTAGAGCTTTGTACTCTTTCAGAAAGTAACTGACTGTTCAGTAATAGTCCTCACTATTAACCAGAACACTAAACAGCTAATTTTCCATTCTGTTTGTGTTTCCAGAGGGGTGAAAAGATGAGTCCCGAGGAAGTCAACAGAATTTTTTCTGTAGCTGATACCAGTCGTGATGGGAAATTAGACTATAGTGAGGTAATACAAGTTAATAATAATAATAATAATAATAATAATAATAATAATAATAATAATAATAATTATTATTATTATTATTATTATTATTATTATTATTGCTTACACTTATATACCACTTTTCTGGACACTCCACTCAAAGTGCTTTAAAGGTAATGGGGACCCCCACCTGCTTAGCTTCAGTGGGTTGCCATTTGTGAGTTGCAGGGTGATATGGCTGCTGGCATGAAGTTAAGGTCATATTGTCTGCTAAAGAAGTAATTAAAAAGCTGTACATGATTATTTACTATTCTCTTCACAAAGTGTTTTACAGCTTCTTTTTCATAAACCATATTGTAATGCTGACTTAAGACTCTGATATTAGTTATAATTATTTTTATCATTTCTTTATTATAATTCAGTTATCTATAATGATAGTAGTGTGAGGTGTAGGCACACTTTAGGAGACAGTCAAGACAGACATGCACACACCTCTAATTGTATTTTTAGTTTTGCAGGTTGATAATGTCAACTTCCAACCAGTGTCATAGAGCAGCACTGGAGATACTTGAGGCCGATATTCAGTCGAAACGTCAGAATTTGGGCAGTGAATCAGGGAGGTCTCCAAAGAGCTTGTTGTCCCAAGTCGTTAGCCCAGCAGAAGGAACTTCCCAGAAAACGGGACAGGAGACCACTCCAAGAAAAGGTGCAGCTTCCTCAGACCTTGTTTAATCTTGGCACCCAAAACCATTATCACATAATCGCACTGGTTTTCTAAGCAAAGCTGAGATTTTACACTAAAATATTTAAATGAGCATTTTAATGATATTAGCCATATATCAAGTTATACATGAGATGTAAAGAAAATAATTTCATTCTTCCCATCATAACATACTTGAAGTCCTTTTTTAAACTGTGATATTTATTTGTCAGTTAAAGTAGCAAGGAATGTTGATTTTTTTAAAGCAATATAGTGGCAAAAATGTGTAAAAACCAAAACTGTGATGCTTAAATAAATAGGTTGTAGTTGGTCAGTCTATGAATGTGTTATTGATTGCGAATTCCCTGTGTGACCAAGAAGGATTACTGATCCATCTGAAGGAGGAGTCGCAGTAAGGGCTGAAAAAACAAACAAATTAGTTTTAGATAGTGTTTAGATTAGCACATTATGGTTGTTATTTAACATATTGATTTGTATGTATTAGTATTGATGTTCTTCTGTCTGTTCTTACATATTGTAAAAGTTTCTTAATAATTGTGTGCTTTTTTAATTTTTAACATGTTGATTTACAGTATAAAATGTTTTGACTGATTTCCAATCACATGAATTAGTAATATATGTTTGGCCATTATAATTCTTTATTATACGTGGGTTCTTAATTATTAACTAATGAAATCTTGAGTATTTTTACCTATTTTTTTGTCACTTATTGAAATTCTTTGAAAACCCAAAAATATATTCTTTCAAGTGCTGACGATGGGCAAATAATTGCCTTTTAACAGCACTCCAGGCTTTTGCTGACTGTTCTGTTTTGATCTTGTTGTTTCTTTGACATGGTAGAAAACAGATCTGCACATCCCCCTTCGGCTCGAGGCCGGAGATCATCAGTGTCTTCCACATTCACAATGGGAGCAAGTAGTACAAGAAGTGGGAAGTTAATTGAACCAAAATCTCTTCAGGTACTGAATACTTCTAATAATACTCGCTTTAATAGGATATTACTGACTATGTTGTTGCCCACTATACTGCAAAAGTCTTGTCCACCACTCTGTACTCATAAATTGAGGAGTGATTCTAAATGTAGTCATGACATAAAAGAAAATACTACATCTTTTTAATTCTGTATTATCTCACATTTATTATATTTATTAAATTTATTAGAATCCATTTAGCTTATTGTTTCTTTAAGAACAGAAGACAAGCATTGCTCCATCTAGATAATTTAATAATAATAATAATAATAATAATAATACTTATAATAATTGTTGTTTTTTACAGTATAGTGTCCCTGCCACTATACTGGGGTATTAAGACCGCAGGGTCTTCCAGCAACAACCTTAGCTTTCCCAGGAAGTCTCCCCTCTAGGTACTGGACAGACTCACACCTGCTTAGCTTCTGTGGGTTGCCAGTTGCAAGGTGATATAGCTGTTGGCATTTGGTACATTCTTTGAAATTAGATAATTACCATTAGAAAAATAAGAATATAAATTATATTATGATATCCAGGTAGTGCCAGGAGATGGTCAGTGATCCTCTGTGCACCTGCCTGGTTATAAAAACAACAAAATAAATGACACAGGGCATTTGTTCAGAATTTAAGTACTGAAAAAACATATTTAAAAATTGATGCAGTTTTCAGAGTGGGTAAATGTGATCCCACTCAAGCAAATTACATAATATCTGTGTCAAAATCAAATAAATGCTTTGTTGTTGTTCAAAACAGTGTGAAATGTTTATACTCTTTGCCATTGGGTTTCTTATTCACTACTGTTGCTGCTTGGGTTGAAAGGAATGTAGTAAGATCAAATTTACTCCTTGAAGTCAATAGGTATAGAGTGTTAATATTGATCTTACTCTTTTTGTTTTCTCATTTTTTGACATAACCACTACTAGTTTTCTTACAACAGAAAATAATAGCTATAAATGTCATGAACAGTAATTGGAAAAGGTCAGAATTCACATAACAAATGTGTACTCCAAGATTACTGTTGAAAGTTCTTTTACTTCAGTCTATATCGTTACAGCCTACAATTATTATTCTGAGTGGAGAATCAGTGCTTTTTGTTTTTTAAGAAAAGGCACCCCATGGCTCTAAGGCATTGTAAATCTGTGAAGATACTGGTGAAACTGACATGGCTCTGTATTAAAGGGCTAGGTGACCTATCTCTAAGGGACAGTATTTCAAAGTCTTTAAAGTGGACTCATGCCTAAGGCAGTTTACTTCATTTGATATTTGGTGTACAAAACACTATAGTGTTATGATTTGATCCTTTATGTATTTCACAACCTATCATAAATACTTTGGGTAAATAGCTTTTTTAACAAAATGACATTTCACCACATATGTATTTTATGCTCTTGTTTAACTTTAAAATTTATTAGTCATCAGAAAGCAGTATAAGAACCAATTCAGAAAAAGAAAAGGCTGTTCAGGGCAAATACATTGACATTTTTCAAAATAAAATAGTTTGTGGTGAATAGCCAATAATTTGGATACTTTTCAACACATATTTCTATGACGTAGTTGATTTAAAATCTCTTGTTTTTCACTTTAAAATCACCCTGTTAATCTTCCATCTGTTTCTTTTCTGCCAAGTATGTTAAAGAAAATAATCATTTTAAGTGTAGTGGACAAATGTCAAAGTCTTAACACACTGTTTTCTGTAAAAGTTGTAATGTGACATTTTCTTTCATCCATCTAGTTTTTTTCTTTTAAAAATTACTCTTCTAAACATACCAAAAACACTCGTACAAAAAGTTTAAATTGCAGTTTTATTTATTTGTTGTTATTAAATATGCTGGTGTCTTTGTTTAATAACTAGTATTACTACAGTTCCATCTTGTGGCTTTACTTAGTATGTGCAAGTAGTATTCCTGGAGAAGCAAACAAAATCCTTTCATATACAGCATGTACTTGTGTATGTTCATTTTAGTATAACATTATAGTGCATTTATTTTCTGTAAGAACGTTTCCTTTTATTTTATAACAGTGGTACTAATGTTTCAGGAAGTATTTTTGTTTTTTTCTTTCTTAAAAGTTCTAACAAATAAAAGATTCACTGTGTGCTTTTTCATCTCTTCAGGAGTGGCATCACATAAGTTCAAAGGGCTGTTTCTTTCTTGAAGAAGATGGTGGAATTCCATCTCTGCAATACAGACTTCACATCCCACAGACATCAGTGGTTTATCTTACCATTAAACCGCTGAACCTCAGCTATACAGAAGGTGCAGAATTCAAACTAAGACATTTATAGAAATTATTTTTTTATGTATTAGTAGGTGGATGATGAGTTATCATTTTAACACATTTTAAATAAGAGCCTTTAAAAAGCAAGAAGTGAAAACAGGGACATTAATTTTTAATTTCTATGTTACATAAACATTGCACTGAAATTGGAAAAGGCAAGTAGTTTATTCAATAAAGCATTGCAGCTTGGAAAACTGTGTACATTAATATTTCTAGAAAAAGTTGCTATCTTTTGTTTTAAGTAGAAGAATATAAACATAAAAAGGTTACAAAAGAGAGGAGACTGTATTATATAAATGGGGCAGGTGGGCATGTAAAAGACAATTTATGAAGAATTAAACCAATAGATGAGGGTATCTAACACAGCTGTCAAAAAAGGCAAGTTCAAATGTTTGCATTGATGTGCAGCTAAGCTTGTCCCTTTTCTATGACTTTGGGTTAAATTTACACTGTGGCAACTCACCAGTTTATTTATCAGGAGGGTAGCAATATCTGTCTCACATGCCCCTCTTTTTTCAGAGAAGCCTTCTCCTTGGATGACAGTAGACACTGCTCTTTTTCTTGTAACTGCAAATGAAAAAAAAGAAGATTCAAATCTCGTGTGTTTTACAGATGCCCGGGACAAAGAGGTTAGCTGGGATCTTCATATTTTGTTGATGTGAATTACTGGACTGAAGAATGTCCTTTCCTGTGATATTTTTCTTGTGCTGTTTCACTCTGAAGGTCAACACGTAAAAGTAGTTTTCAGTTAAAAATAAATCCTAAAATGTAGAAAATCACTGTTTTTTTTTTGTAGAACTAACTTATTAACTAGGATATGTCTAAACATAAATGTCAATGTGATGAAACATTCGTCAAATTTTAAAGAGGACCAAATGAAAGACATCCTCTCTTCTTTGACCTAATTCTCTCTCCAGTCAGTTACACTTTTTAGATATGTACTGGCAAAGCTAGACATTTTTTTTATACAGTGCTCTATGTAGTCTTGTTGCATGTCAGTAAAAGGTCTATTTAATTTTGAGCTGCTTAGTGAAGGTGCTAATTGTTTCCTTTGAATGGCAGACGTTTGGATGGAAAGGGGAACTAAGTGCTGGAGTTTATTACTTACTGCCCTTCACCACCGGCTGCAGATTGAAGAAGAGGAAAAAGCCTGTTAATAAGCAAGTTCAACTTGTTTACCGGACTGACAGTGGTGAACTGGCACTTACCAAGGAGTTTAAGTAGGTTTCATTGCTTTCCTTTACAAGGCAAAAAATGACATTTTTGAGGATATACATTGTATAGTATAGCTGGAATATTATTTTCAGTTTATAACTTACATACTGTAAATACAGTTTTTAGTTTATATGAATACATATAAGTTTCAGGTTATATGAATACATTTCTATGTTCATTGGTACTAATAAGTTCGTATATATATTATTTAATTGTCAAATTTGTTTTCAGTGATGACTAATTTTGATCTTGTGCTTTTGTTTTTCTGTGTATTGACCTAGGATAATGTTTTGCTGGAAAGCTGAGTAAACAAAATACCAAGTTGCAGCATTATTTTGCTGTAAATAAGCATGTTGATTTTAAAATGTTTACCTTTATGATGCCATTGCCAAATAAGTCAATACAAGTCTTAAACCAACTCTAAATAGATATAATCAGACATTGCAACAACTTTATTGGTGTGTACTTTATTCATTGTTTAATTTTCATAACTCAGAATATGTAAAAAATATGTTATTCAAATTTTTTAATTTCCATTTGTAAAGGTCCTGACAGTATATACTTTTTCTATTAAATTAAGTAACCATAAGAACCAGGTTGTTCTATAGGACATGACTGACAAATAGTTTCTAATTTAACTCATTTATGTTAAATGATACACTTGAAGGTAGTTTTTTAAGATGATGAAAATGAATGGAGTTCAGAAGTTCTTATATTAGATGATATGCTATTTATCTTCTTTAATAGGACAGCTCTCTCTGATATCTTTGAAGTGATCGATTTGGATGGGAATGGCCTCCTCAGTCTGGAAGAGTATAATTTCTTTGAGCAAAGAACAAGTGGAGAGAAATGTGACGAAGAAGCCTGGGCTGTTTGCAGAGGTGTGCTGGCATTTTAGATTACATGCCCTTAGACTTTCTTTATCATATGGTGTGTTGAATGTGCATTGGTAAATAAAGCACAAATCAGAATTCATGTAACCTTGCTTCTTCTTCAGAACAGCAGCAGGTTAGGTGAATTTCTGCTTGTGGAGTATAAAACACAGCCTTAGTGAAACTTAATAAATAATTGTACATTTTCAGAAAAAAATATATTATCTTTTGTTATCAGATAAAATATCAACACACAGTAGGCAATCAGACACATTTTGATGTATTTTCATTGGAATGAACATGCAATATAAGACTAACATATCATACTATTGTTGAGTACTATTAACAGGTTAGTCTCAGTTTCTTTTTCATATTCTGGACCTGTTTTTTAAATGAAAAAAATGTTATGTAATGTTTACTTTCTGACATCCTAAATTTAATTATTGCAGAAAAGTAATTAATAAATAGTCAAGTATGGACCAATTTCCTGGATCCTACCATTGCAGGGCTGAATTAAAACAGGAGTGCAAAAGAAGGTGTTTATGACTCTTCTGAGAGCTTGCAGAGATGCAGATTTTGATTAATTATATTTTGCCCAATCTTTCCTGTAATGTGAGTGTACAGTAAAAAAGGAATATAGTTCAAAGCATACAGCTAAACCATTTCAGAACATGCTGTAGCATTTTATAGTGCTGTAGATGTGCACTTCTTAAGTGCACTTATGTTACATAAACGTTTTCCCTTGAAGGACATTTTGTCCCTTCCTTACGCTTAATCGCTTGTCGTCTATAGAGTTAGAGATTATAGGGTGTTGATAATCTGCCATAATCTGAAAGCGTTTGAGGGACTAGACCACCTTTTAGTGAGAAAGACAAGATTGGAATGTAGCAGTGTTTGCATGACATGATGTTATGCGAAAGATCCAGTGGAAATATAGTTAGTCTTGTGTAAATTTATACATTTTTTTTACTACAGAAAATTTTGATACCAAGAAGAATGAGCTAACAAGACAGGGCTTTATGGAACTGAATTTAATGGAAGCCACTGACCGTGAAGGAGATCCTGCAGACCTGTGGATCACTCTGGAATCAATGGGTTACAACAGGGCCCTTGAAATGGTAGAGGTATGCAGCAGATAATACAAACGCACCTAACAGGACATGAGTCCTGTTTGCCACTTCTAACAGTTTTGTCCCTACATTTGTTTTTTTTACATCATAATGTAATTCAGTTGTATATCTAAAATAATCAATTAATATTTTTCAAGACCAAAAGTTGAATGTTCCAATTCTTTCTGCAACCTGGAAGAAAGCAATTGACAATAAATGCTGTTTGAAATTGTGCTGCCACCCACCTTATTTTGTGCAATGTTTTCTGACACAGGCATGTCCTTTTATCATCAATGTGTATTCAGAGGAATGCAAACCTACAGTGAAACCAGTCAGTTTGGACTCTGGCAGTAAAATCCTGAACACGGCTGTATACAGATCAGTAATTGCCAAGGGGGAGGCCAAACCAATTAAAGGCTATGAAAATATAATTATCTATACATACAAGAGTGACATGAGAATTTCATCAGTTATTGCAAATAAGGTAAATAAAATTACATACTTTTCTCCCAAAAGCTATTAAATAACATCAAATGCTTCAAAGGGTAACCCAGATAGGTTGGTATAGGCACATAATCTCTTTGCCCTCAAGCATTCAGATGATTAGAGTGTAATTAATAATTTATTGGACAGTGGTACAGTAAATCTGTAGTTAAATCTTAGGAACGTAAAACATTGTAAATTAATTATCCACAATAACAATGACAATTGATTTGGTCTTGCTGTTCTATGATTATGTTTATTAAAAATAATTAAGTATCTATATTGGCTTTGTAACTTTTTAAAAGGGAAAAAATAAAAATAGGCATAATTTATTAAACATTTTTATAGTGTATTAAAAGCAGTTTAAAGGCTGTGCTAAACAGAATGTGAAGCTTTGTTAGATTCTTTTTTAAAATGACTTGTACAGAAAGCTAATTGGTTCCCACACTGCATATTAACTTCTTGAATGATTTATGCCTTTTAGCACTGGAAACCAGTTAGTGCTGAACTGACTTGTTCATATACATTTTAATAGTTTGTTAATGAAATAATTTTCTTTTGAACCTAAACCAGTGTACTTCATTAGTTTACTATATTATATTTTTTTATTAAATAAAAATATTTTGAATAGTCTTATAGTCTTACAGTTAACCATAAGACATTGGATGCTTGTGTGTACCATATATATGGTTATGTGACTCAAGCACTAACAAAATACAAACAGCCACGCAAAAGACTGTAAATAATACGTGCTTTCTTCCACTGACTTTTCAGCTAGGAGAAGAGAAGGGATTTAGTTCATTATATAGAACATAATATTATGTTATTGTTAAATAATAACCAAAAATATGAAAACTTATGGAAATGTTACCATTTTGTTGTTAAATGAAAATTCTGATGTTATGAATTTTGCTTTTAGTTTAATTATTTTGCCAAACCAGCCAAAAATCCTGTATGTTCACCAGCATCCACATACTGTAACACAATGGCACAGTAAATGCCCTTTTGCATTCTTAGGTGAAATTATGGAAAAGGAAATGAATACATTTCTAATTGAAATTAATACATTTTAAAAGATATAGTATGTGCACACAGACCAGTTTCACCTTTAAGCCATTTGAACCTTTTCATTCTTGTTTCTTGCTTTTGCAGTCCAATAGTAAAGTGACAGTCCATGTCAACAATGAGCAGAGTAAGAACTGTAGCAGCAGCAGGGGCATGAATGTCTTTGCTGTCGAAGTTCCACCAAGAACCAAAGTGGTAGGTTCAAGATACTTCATCTTTTTTCATTTTAGTATTTTTACTGAAAAGGTTTTAGACCCTCACTATGTTGGTATGTTCATTTTGAAAGTTTAACGTATTCTAAATATATTTGAAAAATTGTATAAAGTAATCAAACAAAAGACACCAATATGTTTTCATGTTAAGAAATGGTTTATTAAGTATAATAATGACTTGTTTGTGTGCGCTCCCTGTGTTTGCGGGAGTTTCCTCCAGGTGGTTTGATTTTCATCCACAATCCAAAAACTGCTGGGTTAATAGGCCCCTGGACAAACTGGCCCTGGTATGGGTGTCTGTGTTTGTGTGTTTGCCCAGCAATAGACTGGCGTCCTGTCCAGGGTGTACCCTGCCTTATGACCTTTACTTCCTGGCTCCCCCACCACCCTGAATTGGATAAAGTGGTTAGAAGATGGATGGAAGACTTGTAATAGACAAAAATGCCAAATGTCAGGAATAAAAATGAACACTTTCTTTTAATTTGAAGGAATATGCAGGTCAAGGGAAAAAAAAGTGACTCATTTAAATTCATTATGTGGATGTTCTCATTAAAATGGAAAGTGGAATAGCTGGGCCAGTCCCAGTGCTACATTTCATGCTCTGTTTCCCCTTTTGTAGGAATGCTCAGAAAAGAAAACACTAGACATGACCCTTTACAGTTAATTGGCATTTCTCTTCTGGAAAAATAAAATATGAAGTTATTTTTAATATTTCAGAATACCTTCTGATTCCCTTAATGATGAGATTCCCTCTTCTATGATGAGATTTTACATATGCATAGAATATTTTCTACTTAAATTATTGTTAGATATTCTTCACCGAATACAGAGCATTGTGTCTTTTTGGCAGACTTTACAGTTTTGCTTTTGTGTTTGTAAAATATGGGAAAAAAATGCATTTTTTATTAAGCAGAAAAATGACAAAATTGTTCATGCTTGTCTTATTCTGTCTTTATTGTTTAGGTCTGCCAACATGTTATGCCAGTGAACGAAAGGCAAGAGTGGACGTACAACTGTGTTGAAAGCATTTTGCCTTAATTTGACACAAGAATGGATCTAATATCTTTATATGCTCCTTACACTTATTTAAATTAAGTTAAAAACAGGAATTTCATATTTCCTTTATTTTGACTGGGACTATTGTGTAAGTTAAGAAAAAGACAAGAGTACCCTTTAGCTTTCAGCTGAGCTTCAGTGTTACTCTGGCCTGGGATTTGAGTTTGATGTTTCATGTATTTATGATGTGCAATTTTCGAAATCTAATTCAATCTGCTAAACCTTTAAAGTAATCATGAGTTGATTCAAATCCTTTCTATTAGAAATAGAAATTTCTTCCTGTGACTCGACGATAAACATCATGCATTGTGATACTTGTAAGATTATAATAATTAAATTATTGTGTGGATTTCAAGAATAAGTGTGCCAGTTTCTATGTAGAGCATGCTGTTAACCTATCAACTGTATCAAGTTTTTAAGTGAGCATTATACGGTACCCATAAGCTTTGTCATTTAGCTTGTTAATTGTTTTTATTTGGCTACTATCAAAAGTCTGAGTGGCCACACTAATGAATGTTAGTCTATTGTATACTATTAAGTAGTTAATGAACTTTGTGTACACGTAGTTTTACCCTTGTGATCCACAGGGAATCTGTGATGATAACCGTCTGCAGGTTATGTGTTAAATCTTTGCTTCTCTTTCTGTGTGCAAAATGTGATGGTTTATAATCACATGGTAGTGTGGTATGTATATGTACTGTAAAACAACAACATGATTATTACCTTTAATGATATGACGTGTGGGTGGCCTGATAGTGTAGTGGTTTGGATGCTGCCTTGCAGCACTAGGGCCCTGGGTTCAATTCTGGGACCAGCATGCTGTCTGCGTGGAGTTTATGTGTTCTCCGCCATGTTCATGTGGCTTTTATCTGAATGCTCCAGTTTTCTTCCCCAATCCAGAAATACAGTTAGGTTAATTGGCTTCTCATAAAACTGGCCCTGGTGTGAGTGTGTTCTTCTCTGTGTGTGAGTGCCCTGGGATGGACTGGCGTCCCATCCAAGGTGTACTCAGCCTTGTGCCCCTTGCTTGCCGAGATAAACTCCGGCTCCCCCACAACCTTGAATTAAACTGAAAAATGAAGTGTCTAGAAAATTGAAGGGAGGATATACAGTATGCCCAGCCAGCTCCCTTCCTCCATCTAGTCTGCTTGGGACACCATTATCTGAAAAACAGACACTGTTGATGACTTGGGCAAAAGTTTGCTTACCGCTAATATAGGGTACTTGGAAACTATACTTGTATTTGGGTACTAAGAAATCTTGGAAACAAATTTCCTTTTTAGAAGCCATCCTAAAAACACTTAGATGTATGTTTAATGTAATAGGAAAATGATTTATGAAAAAATATATTTCAACAATGCATACTGTACTGTATATACTGTACAGTATATAAAAAGTTCACTAACCACTTCAAATAACAGAGTCGGCCAGTATGGTACTTGGCAGCTAGCTGCATTCTTATATGTTACAGACAGGTCTAAAATGTATTTGACCTCAGCTCTTAATGCCTAAAGTAGTCTTGACCTGCTATTTATATCCCTGAAGCAATTATTTTGCTCTTTGACTTTCTGTGCTGTAACCGTAGACAAGGCCACTAAATGTCACATGGTAAGAGAGAAGCCGGTTACTTGCTGTGCATTTTTTTCTATTACATTTCCTAATAAAATTGAAAACATTTAAGCACTTAGTATAGATTTATTTGAAAAATTCCTACTGATGTGGTATTTAGCATCTACAATGACTAAAAACATAGCTGAATAATGCGTGTATAATCTAAAGTATAATACAAGACCTATACATAGCTTTATGAAATTGTCTTTACAGTTTGTTTCTTAGCAAAATGACTTGTTATAGCCTACTGTACTTCTTCTACAAGCTGTGTGTGCCTCTTTTAATAATTCATGAAAACATATTTCAGGGAAAATAGCACTGTTCAAACAAGCTTCATACTTTTAACAATTAACTTTGTGCTCATATGTGGAAAGTGCTCAAACAAAACATTATGCAATTGCCAAATAAATCTCAGACTTCATGTTTGGTGGTAGCATCATAAGAGATAAGAAGAGTCTATAGGCCTCTTGTTAATCGTTTACAAAAAAAAACTGTTGGAGCCCTCCACATTCTGACTCATGTTGACTCCATATTAAAAGTTTTATCCAAATATTAAAAATTAGAATTAAAATCTCTAGAAGCTCCTAAGCACCATGCTGGAGTGTCACATTGTATTTTCCTGTCGTTTTTTGTAAGATAGGGAACAACTGCCTTTGTGAGGGTGTATAGTTATATTATTAAAGTGACCATAAGTAAACTAACTAGTTCTAAGGAACCTGCATTGCAAGAAGAAAATGGATGGATGGAAGACTAAGAACGGCAAAGCATTCAATACCACGTTCAAAATCTTCCTTGTATAACGAGCTGGACTTCAGACGACGTTTTTTTAATAGTGTAGTTAGACACAAACACATACAGCAGGTAACCAATTAAAATAGTTTTAATTATTTTTCAACTGGAATTCATCGTTCCAGATTTGTAGACAATTCTAAATAAAATGTAATCCTTGCTATTTCCGTGTCGTCATGCTTTTATACAGTCCTGTTTTTTTATCCTGAATTATTTTTAAGGGTTACGTCTTCAAAAGACTTGATAAATAGTGACCTTAAGGGTCAGGTCAAAACTCAGCTGCTCTCTTCCTGACCTTGGTAGGAAAACTATGACTTTTGACTTTAAAACATATCGACTGATACTGTATGTCTTTTAAAGATGATCTTTCTCTAAAGAGTTATCTTAAAACCATGAAATCATTAATATCATGAAAGTATCAGGGAAATATAACTTATAAGAAAGTTCGTTTTTTTTATTTTGAGTTTCCCCAGTGAAGTAAAATCATGGATATTAACTTTAAAATTTGAATAAAATCAAAATATATAAGTATATACAAAGTATATATTAACTATATATGATGATAACCGACTGAAAGTAAAACCCAATTTGGCATTTTTATAGTGTTTCAAATTCGAATTTAACGTCATAGCAGAAAATATCAGATTCAGAAGACGCTAGGTAAGTTGTATCACCTGTGCGCAGTGCACACCTTTTTGATAATGTATTGGAAATATTAGGTTAAAGTGATGTAATCGTACATTTTGGAAAAAAGCAGGTATCATAAGACCCTTTAAGTTAAAACGTATCAAGAAATAATTGTAGTCCTCTGTCGCTTTAAATCCTCTTGTGGGTGTGACCGGCCGAGAAGAAACTAGCTAGTGTGTACGTGGGGCAGTTCGCATCACTCTATACACGGAACACACAGACAACCTTTGGGGGGTGAAAATGACGAAAATAACGACTGTCAAAACCAAGCCTTACACCGATCAAAAGCCCGGAACCAGCGGGCTCAGAAAAAGAGTAACCGTATTTCAAAAAAATGAGAATTACGCTGAAAATTTCATCCAGAGTATTATTTCAACCATTGACCCCGCTGAACGACAGGAAGGCACGTTAGTGGTGGGAGGAGATGGGCGATTCTACATGAAAGAAGCTATCCAGCTCATCATCCAAATTGCTGCAGCAAACGGGGTAAGAAATTCAGTTTGGTGTCCTTTTTTTTTGCATTGTATCATATTGTGTGTCGATATATGTCCTAGGCCTAAAGTATGAGTACGTGAATTGCCTAAACCCTGTTTCAAAGCTCCACATACAATATTTATTGCTTGGGACCACCTGTAAGGTCCAAGGCAAAACAAGTTTATGTTCTTTTTTATTTCTGACACCTTTTACTATTTTATGGCCTTGATTAATATTTGCATGCATACAGTGGATTTTTAAATGGAATCTTAGAATTAACTTTGTGTATGCTTTTCTGTTAAAGGACAGTTTCAATGAAGATAAGTTCTAAACCAATGTGATAGTTGTTTAATTGATTTTGTTTAATTGATTCTTCAGACGTGGTTTAGTTTTATTTTCCGAATGATTTTTGCTAAGTGGGCTTAGTGATCCTAACATTAAGGAGTACCACGACTGAGTTCGGTACCTTTGACATTTTACCTCCTGAGATATCTAGCTGGGAATTAACTACACATGCACAAAAATACCAGGATGTCTGTTATATACCATGCATCTATACATTAAGTCTTTTGACACTTGCTTCCTTTTGTAGTTGCGTAATTTCTGCATTCCATTTTGCAGCGAGACGAGTAATGTAATACTGTGAAAAACCTCTGCGAGAAGAAGCGGAAGTTTCTTGAAAGAATCCTCTATATAATCTTTTATTTAGTGTTTTCTGTAGATTATGCTGCTTCGGTGCTACAGGTATATTGTAGTTCAAGTGACTGTCATCTACAGCCGGGTCTTGTTGCCTCGGTGACGGAGAAAAAGGGGGTGTGCCCGTCTACTCGAATGCTGCAGCAAGTCTGCTTTTGAAGGTCAGAGTTGGCTAGGTGAAAATAAAACTAAACCACGTCTGAAGAATATTAAGTATCCCTAGAAGACTTTCAGTGTCTGCAAAACTGGGAGACTGAACAAAATGTTAGTCATGGACAGTTACTGCTACCACTTTCATGACTTATTTTATTCAGAATGCATGGCCACCCTTCAAAAGCAAAACAGCCTTCTTAAGAGTGTGAAGCTAAAATGGCAGCATACAGACAGGATAGCCAGGGGGAGCAGAGTCTTCTTGGCATCTTTGATCATCTAATGGATGACAGATGATTCCAGGTTTGACATGAGAAGGTCTCTGTGCATTAGGGTGGTTTTGTTTTTCTCCTTTCGATCTTCTTTTGGTGTAATCTAGGTTTTTTTCTAAATCAACAGTTGTGAAATGATTTCTGTTGTAATACTGCTTCATCAGAGTTCCCCATTTCTGGTCCTGGAGGGCTAAAGTGTCCATGGAGTTTCAGTCCAGATGGTCTCTTAATGACTTTAATTAGCTCATTGGACCAGTTTAGCAGCTCTTCAGGTGCTCTTGCTTAAAGAGACCTAGAAAACCTGCAGGCAGACTGGCCCTCCAGGACCAGGTTGAGGGACCCCTGCCCTTTATAGGTACTAGAAAGATAAATAAAGATTTCCAGCTCTCACTTCTGTTGATTAGTTAAAGACTCTAGTTTAAAATCCCTCATTCTGTCTTATTTTTCTGGGTTCAGGCTGAAACTGCACAACCTGTTTCCTTATGCCTCCATATCTTTTATAAGATAAGATCACTTTATTAGCCATATACAATTTCTTGCATTAGGAATTTGTGTTTTCACATACCCCAACTTGCTCTCAATGAGACACACAGACAGGCAGAAAAGCTTGGGGTCAGAGCGCAGGGTCAGCCATTTATATGGCAGCCTTGGAGCAGCTGAGGTCAAGGGCCTTGCTAAGGGGCCCAGCGGAGTAGGATTCCTCTGCCGACCATGGGATTTGAACCGGTAACCTTCCAGCCACAGACTCAGATCCTTAGCCACAGTGCCACAATCCTGATATATCTTTCACGTGGTATTAAGGCATGGAAGGAGGGTGATAAGGGACAGAAAGTGTTGATACAGTAATAGGAGCCAGCTCTCAAGTACTGGGTTCTTGTAGGTGTTAGAAGCATCTTTAAATTTGTATGTGGAAAACACAGGATATTTGGCTTCGTATCCACTTAATTTCCTGAATGAAGCCATTAAGGTCTGTGAAAACAGAAACAAGCACAGGACTGGAGATGCCTAACTATTCAGGGAATTCAAAGTGCTGTCAGTGTTAAGTTTATTATTTTTTTTGGATATGGCCCGCAGTTGTATTTAAAATGACTGAATTAAAACGGCATGTTGGCAAAATAAATTATTTCTCTGTTTTCCGGGTGCATTGCCCATTTTTGTATGGAAAACGCTGCACCGTGTGAATGGGTTTCCCCACAGAAGATAACTGCCTTTGGAAAGATTTTGATTTATTCCTTGAGATTTTCTGTGAAGAGGAGGAGGCCACTTGCTCACTAAAATGCTTAACAAAGCCACATTTCACCTCTAGAGGGAATCCTTGTGCAAGCTTTCACAAGTCAAAATGGAAGGTGCTGAGCAGCCACTGTTTTTCGCAAGTGGAAAAAAGTGACAGACACAAGGATAGTCCTTATGCTTTAGAAAGTTTTAAGTCTTACTTTATTCCATTTTACATAGTACATGCATTGTACCCTTGCATTCTCCTGTTTTATAGGCAGCACTGTACTGTAGTTTATATATTTATGTGGTTTGAAATGGTTAATTAAATGCCATAAGCCTCAATACTAAAATCATTATTTTGAACATTTGGTGTGTAATTACGGCTAAAAGATACAAGGCATGTTGTGTTCCTTTCTCTTAAATGTTCTTGCATTCCACTTCAGATAAGGTTTGTTCAGTAAGATGTCTAATTGCCCTGTCCTGTGTTTATTGCTTTTATATATATATATTGGAATACGTTTGAAATAATTTTCTGCTCCTTTTTGGCAACTGTCTACTTCATAATTTATTAGCCTGTGGGATTAATATTATACCAAAGGCTAAAGAAGTCTCAGAGTCTGAACCTGTTTCAAAAAATAAAGTTTAGTAAAACGGCTAAGTTTTAAAGTCGTTTTGCAAAACAATCGCATGCCATATTTTTCAGCGCTATTTTCATTATATAAAGAGCTGGCTAAAAGCATGGATTTATTTGAGTTGATGTATTACAAAATACGTAACTTACTGTGCATAAATGCATCTCCAGTCCTTCCCATATTCGGTCTGCTCTAGAATACCATTTCTGTTTTTTCTGCTTTAAGAGTGAAGCGGTCAAAGCCCAGTTGATCGACAGGTAATCATGGGCCACCATTTACAGCTCAGCCCTACTTTATAGAATGAGGCTGTCCCTCTACTGCTTGAAATGTTTCAAGCAGCACAGAACAGCTATCGTAAATCAATTTCCCAGCCTAGTTGTCTGTGAGCTGGATTTACTGTGGTTGAAAGTCCTCACCATTGTTTTCCCTGGTTGGACAAAGACATCCACTATTGGATTTGAATTTTTTTCCCTGTTATTTCTAAAGGAAGCAAAATTGCCTGTTTTCTCAATGATTTGCTTCAATCTCTGTCTCTGACAGTGATCCCCCTGGACAAGTGCAGGGAAGCTTCTTCAGTTACAGAGTCTGCCTCTCAGAGAGGGTCCAGGGAGTTATTTTTGGGCGCTTGACTACTTCGCCTGAACTTTGAATACTCAGCCAGCCATTAGCCTTCATCTATTCCACCTTCTCAGTCCAGAGTTTCAATCAAAAGTTTCCCCTTTTTTATGACTTTTCTGATGATGGATGACAGCCCTTTGCAAATTTTGACATTGCCGACCGTTCCATACAGTGACCAGAAGCCCGGAACCAGTGGATTGAGAAAGAAGACCTACGTTTTTGAGACCAAGAAAAACTACTTGCAGAATTTTGTCCAGAGCATATTTTTTTCCATTGATTTAAGAGACCGGCAGGGATCCACTGTGGTTGTAGGAGGGGATGGCCGCTATTTTAATAAAATGGCTATAGAAACCATTGTGCGAATGGCTGCTGCAAATGGGGTCAGTATTGCCTCAGTGGCTGTTTAAGTTAGTCATTTGAATGCATGCTTTTCTGTCTCTGTTTTAGCATGGATTCATTTTTGTGTAAATAACAGCTTTACTTGCTAAAGCATCAATATATCTTTGATAATAGTACAAAGCCTTTAAAAAGCAGGAAGCACACTCTGAACTCCAGTATAATTCATCAGACACTGCCATATATAAATATGGTTTTACAACTAAATTATAATTGAGCATAACTTTGAGTCTCCAGCTTTTTTCACTTTTTTTTTTCAGCGTCCATTGGGATGCATTTCGTTAGTCCGGGATGTGCATTCTTTGTTTTCCTCTTTGAGTATGACACACCAGGAAAATGGTATCGGAAATAAAACATTCCCGAAAACTAGTGGGACGTGACTATAAAAAACACCAGAGTGAAACAGAAAGTGCAGTTGTATTCAGTCAGAATTCTTAAAAGAGTGAATAAGATATTCACAAAATACCCAGCACATTTGAGGACTTTAATAATGTTTTACAGACAAACATAATCCTAGTAATACTAATTCAGTTAATGCAAGAGTGTTGCATTGGAAATTAAGTTTGCCTGGCAAAGGGTGATGATCTTATTATGGAATTAAAAACTGGGTTTAGTGTATAAGATTTCACAGATCGTCTATATAATGCTGATAAGATCAGGCACTCTGATAATGTTAATCTTTACTACATAAAGCTGTGACAGCACCATACTGTACATTGCGGTTAAACAAGGATCTTACCTATGAGCCTGGTTGACTGGAGTCTTCTTAGACAGCATCTTACTTTTATCAGTGTTATTTTTTACATGCATTCACCTGCTCTGTTCCTTAACCTTCTTTTCTCAAACTATGACTGGCAATAATAGGTCACTCCAAGTAATATTTTTTTCATTTCAAGTTAGAATTTGAAAAAGTGTTGCTGTTGTTGGAAATTAGAAGCAGTGTAATATGTGTTTCAAAAGTGTGTAGGAAGAAATGAAAAGCCAGTTAAAAAGGGGAAGAATGTAATAATTGCATTCTACCTGGGTAAATAATTGGGCAGCTGCTGTCTCCATTGCATAGTGAGGAAATACCAGTGCTGGTGGAAGCAGGGGTGATAATCATTCTCTGGATGGAGATGCACATCCGATATCGGCAAAGATTTGCTTTTGGAAGCACAGATGTGAAGAATTTCGTTATGGTGTTTGGTGGAAATCTGGTCATTTTAAATTGGGATAATTACTATTAAAAGAAATCCATTGATGTCATATTCTCCAGATAAGATGTGAACTTTTGAAACCTTGTACATTGACAGAGGCGCCTCATCACTTTAATTATAATTTGTAAAAGAAGAATAGTCAAGGTTCCGCAAAACTAGAATAAGAATGTAAGAGTAGGAATGCAAAGATAATAAGAATGAGGAGTGATTTTAACAAATAATATTGTGCTTCATATAGGTTTTTAATTGGGCATTGATGGTATAAGGTGCCTGAAGATGCTGAAGACAGTCTTTTTTGGGTGTACATAGGGTCTTGTTTTTCCTTTTGTTTTCACTTTCCGTCAATGTGAGTCACAGTATTGTCCAAGGAAGATGAATTAGTTCCTTTCAGAACTCGTGCTGTCTGCTCTCGGGTGTAACCTGTGTTTCTGTCTCTTATTGCAGATTGGTCGTTTGGTAATTGGACAAAATGGGATCCTTTCCACCCCAGCAGTGTCCTGTATTATTAGGAAAATCAAAGCCATTGGAGGCATTATTCTGACAGCCAGCCACAACCCAGGTGGACCCAATGGAGACTTTGGTATTAAATTCAACATTTCCAATGGAGGTGAGCTTGGATTTTAGAACTTGTACAGACTTGGTCACTCTACCCTCTAATGTTACATTTATTTTCCATTTAAACTGACAACAGGAGGTACCTCTACACCCAACGTGTTGTGGGAGTATGGAACAAGCTACCAGGCTATGTTATTGAAGATGATACCCTGGCTTCCTTCAGGAAACAGCAGGTCGTGATCCTTGGATCAAATAGCTACTCGCTATCAAATAGGCTAGCAGTGCATAATGGGTTCTTCTTGTTTGTAATTATTCTTATGTTCTTACCAAAAGATATTTTCATATGACAGGTGGGAAGGTTTACAGGCCGACAATACTGACACAAAGTATCGCAGATTTTTTTTTTTACATCAAGTGAACTTAAAGAGGGTTTCAGGGTTTACTGACTTATTGAATCAAACAAACTCCCAAATTACTTTAATGTTGAATAGAGTAAGAGTAATTTGTAAGTCAATTGTAAGTTAGGTAAGTTAATTTGTAACTGAAATAAACAGTAAAAAACAGTCCTTTACTTAATTCTACTCTGTGCCACCTCTTTTCAAAGAAGAATCTACACCTGTTTTCTCAAAGTGCTGGAGTAAAAAGTTATGCTAACTTTTTAATCTTGTACAGGCTTTAGTATTGCCATTGTTGCTTATTTGGAGAGTATGTGAGGAAGAATTTTAGCATTTACCTTTTATCAAGTATATAATATAGTGACTATTTGCCTTTGCTCATATGCCTTTTTGCTTAGCAACAGTATAAAAGGACAATTCAAGCATATTATTTAACTTTTTGATATTAATGCTAAATATCTAGCTCATTTTACACCTTCTATTTACTTCTTTTTGTCTATATACAAGGTAAAATTACTTCTTAAGAAGAATGTGGTCAATTACAAAGAAACGTTTGTAGAGAGAAAAACAACTTCAAATATGGAAATTTAGAATGAGCTTTCCTGTGTGAATTTGCTGTATAATACTTATTGCATTTACCATCTCATTTGACATATGACATTTATTTAAAAAAATAAAGGGGGAATTTTGTGTGAGTTCAAATTCAGATTACCCTGTCACAAAAGTGGGGAAAAATATATTTTGGTTTGGTTTTAGAGAACGGGTTTGTACCATTCATAAAACTAACAGTAAGAATGTTGGCATCCTATAGAGCCTTGCACTGTGAAATAGAGTAGTTAATCATTTGTAGTAGTCAATGAGCTAGACACTGAGATGTCAATAGTGTCAAGTGACCTCAGGCTAGAAATAACAGCCATGATAAAGCGAGACTTGAGTTGGTGAGATCATCTTTGCAGGCACAGCTTGAATTTTTTAATAAATAGAAGAAAACCCAATTTATCAGGGGCTAGTTGGCATTTTTCAGTTGTTACTCAGTTTTGAAGGGGCTCAGATTTCTTTAAGCTGATTTCTGCACAGTTAGAAATACTTGCATTCATTTGTTCCTTCTTACAAAGAACCTAAGAAGGACTGAGGTCTGCTTTTTTAAAATTGGTGATTTACACATGGATGTTTCTCACAGACATCTATTCCTCATTGTTGTTTACTGAGCAGATCCATATATGAGTGAAATAAGCGATACCAGGTGTTAAAAGATGTACGTGACATTAATGACGTATTAACGTTATAGCTACCTGATATAAACCGTGATCTGAAATATTGCAGAATTTTCAATGTTTGGAACACTGCTGTAGTTAAATGGTATACTGCATGTGCAGTCTGGCACAGAGATGGAATTTCGTCACCAGGCTTTGTCAACCTGACTGTCAAATCTAAATTTAAATGAGGCCATATGTAATAAATGGCATCTCTTAGCAAATCTACTCCAAACCATTATTTTGGTTACACATTGTTTTGAAAAGCTGAAGTAGATTTGTTAATAGCTGACTGAAATGATTTGGGTAGTTAGTCACTATCAGATGATTTTTGTAGGATATTTTCTGGAAAACACAATTCAGAGTTCTGCAGGCAATTGCTTAATTAATTTGGGGTTTATTTAGGTGGTTATCTTTTTAATTACTCTTTTGCAGAGGCTTTGTTTGCTAGATTGCAGAAAACCAGTGTTAAAAGGTTATGGGGTTTTGAATATCGTTTGACATCATGAAGAATTAACCCAGGGCCTACAGTACGTGACAAAAGGTGTACGTCAGACACAAAATCAATTTTCTTCCGTTTGTTTCGTCACAGGCCCAGCTCCAGAAGCTGTCACGGACAAAATCTTCCAGATTAGTAAAACTATTGAAGAGTATGCCATCTGCCCTGACCTGAAGGTTGATCTAACCACCATTGGGAAGCAGCAGTTTGACCTCGAAAACAAGTTCAAACCCTTTACAGGTAAGAGAGTATATTTTGTTCGATTCTTCACCTTTTGGTCCTAGAGCATGCTTGATCCCTTTTGGGTGGAAGAAGATCGGCTGTGATTATAACTGATGTACCTGTTTTTTTATACCATAAGCCATTACAGTACTACTTTGAAGCTGATAGGTGAAGCTGTTTTCTTGCTTCTCTGTGTTTTGCAGTGGAAATCATTGACTCTGTCGAATCCTATGCTAACATGCTGAGGAACATTTTCGACTTTGCAGCTCTGAAAGAGCTACTTTCGGGTCAGAATCAGCTCAAGATCCGGATAGATGCCATGCATGGAGGTAATGAGTTTTTTTTTACTTTAGTCACAGTTCTCTAAATGGAAAACTTTGCAATAGTCTTTTAATTTCAAGAGATGCCGAGACCTACGTTGATGTTCCAAGACCAGAACTTACCGAAAAACAGGCTAGACAGCCTTTTTTTTGTTCATTTGAAATAATAAAAGGTTTAAAAAAATTGCTCTCATCCTACCACCTGTTAATACCAGGCACAGTGGGTTGTAAAGCAGTTCATCTTCAAAGTACCTCTTAACATAGAATTGTATAAAGTTCAAACAAGTCGCTTTTGGAGTTTACTTGCAGCTACAGTCAGGACTGAATTCTAATTGACCAAATGATGTTGTCAGTTTGGAGAAGGGGAACTGATGTAACAGTATGCATATGATAACTTTCTGAAGCCCATATAATGTTTCTTGCTTCAAGCTGTTAGCATGCCTGTAAGGAACACTTCTTGAGATAACTTTGAAATCAAAAGCTGGTTTGACTACAGGCAGTTAGCAAGTGTCTTTCCTGCTGCATCAGTGGATCCTGAAAATGTGTGGCATTTTAAAGAGGGTTATTCATCTGACCCTGAAATAGCAATTTGTAAAACATACATACAGGAAAAGAGGGTGGCATTGTAAACTGAAGGCTGGCTCTGCACATTACATCTTAGGGATTTAATTCCTTCTGCTCATAATGCCTTAGCCAACAGATGCTTAGCTTCAGACTGAACCATAATCCTATTTTTTTTACATTAACACTATTGGACTCGAGATGTGCACAGAACAAGAGCACTGGTTAGATTTTGGTCCCATTTTGTTCCGACACCCTAATCCAAAGAGTGTGGACTAGGTGGCTTGAGCATGGTTCTAATACTGCGGTTATGAATCTGGGCTTTATTTCTTGTCTGCTAAAAGCAGACCTGCACATGAGTAGCCCTGTCTCCACTCACACCTAAAGCTACAGATCTTCCAGAGAGAAGGACAGATGTTAAGCCATCTGGCCACGTTTCTGATCATTAGGCAGCCTAGTTGCATTAACACCTACACTTGACAGTGCCTTCACACTAACCTGCTTAACGCAGAACTCCTGTCTGATTAACTAGTTGTGGGACCGTATGTGAAGAAAATCCTTTGTGAGGAGCTGGGTTCTCCGGCCAACTCGGCTGTCAACTGTGTCCCCCTGGAGGACTTCGGTGGCCACCACCCTGACCCCAATCTGACCTATGCAGCTGACCTTGTAGAGACCATGAAGGGGGGCGAATATGACTTTGGTGCTGCTTTTGATGGAGATGGTGTAAGTTTCTGGGCTATTAACTTTTATTTCTTACAAGGGACTAAGAGAAAAGCTCTTTTATATCCCAACGGGTCAAGGAGCAAGAGGGAGCCATTTATTTTCTCTACTGGTGCAGCTAAAACTGTCATTTTAGCACTTTAATATAGCCTCACTGAAAGCAATGAAATTCTAGCCAGCAGGTCGGACACTGTGTTTCAGTTCGTTTTCGTCTTTAATGTTTGTTCAATTATGAATGTGTGTTTTATTGTGGAAAATTAACTGTGTAGATGACAAACCCTTTGACACCTTTAAAAGGCACAAGCAATTGTTCATCCCACACATTGTTATTTTTGCTGAGTTGCTAAGTGGTGAGGGCTCTGACATATAACGAGAATGTCATGGAATATTGGTAATGGTGGCCATCTTAAAGTATTGGAGACTAAAAAGTCATCATATAACTCTCTCTCTTCCAGGATCGTAATATGGTTCTTGGGAAGCACGGCTTTTTTGTGAATCCCTCCGATTCTGTGGCTGTGATTGCTGCCAATATTTTCAGTATTCCTTACTTCCAGCACACTGGAGTGAGGGGCTTCGCCCGGAGTATGCCAACCAGTGGAGCCCTGGACAAGTATGTCTGGTCCAATTTCCTGAGAGCCTGTCGGCTTGTGTGGTGATAGGAAAAATAGAAATACAAATTGGAATAAAGCCACTTTGCCAAGCATTCATGTCCCAGTTTGTTTGCATTAGTCTTGAAACCAGTTTGCTGCTTGCACTGCATGTGTCTCTGCCTTTTCAAAACTGTGTTAAACCTCTGGACCTATAACTGGGTAAAAGACTAACTTTTTCCCAATTCTAATGTCCAATATACAGCCTAATTATTAGAGATCCTTGTTTATGGATGTTACTGTTTTTACAGAGATATTGATTAGTCATAAGAACAGAAGAGTGGGGCGGAGTGGTGGCTTTGTGGCTAAGGATCTGCGCCTGTGACTGGAAGGTTGCCGGTTCAAATTCCGCGGCCAGCAGAGGAATCCTACTCCGTTGGGCCCCTGAGCAAGGCCCTTAACCCTAACTGCTCCAGGGGCGCCATACAATGGCTGACCCTGCGCTCTGACCCCAAGCTTCTCTCCCTGTCTGTGTGTCTGTGTCTCCATGGAGAAAAGCTGGGGTATGCAAAAAGACGAATTCCTAATGCAAGAAATTGTACAGGGCTAATAAAGAAACATTACATTAACATTACATTACAGAAGAGACCTCTGTTATCAGTTGCTTTCTTTAAATACTCTGTGTTTGGGCTGTTTTAACTTCTTGTTGCATATAGAGACCCTAAAATAGCCCTATACGTCAACATACAGTATCTCTTAATATCACTCTCCACCCTTAAATTGTCCTGCAAAGGTTAAGCATTATCTTGGGACAGTGATGGGCCAGAGAGGAACATTTGTCTGAGTATCTTCCCCCAGTGACTCATTCCTCTGGCAGGATACACAGTTAGACTGGATAGAGATGATCTTTTATCCTTGTGGATTCTGAAGCAGAGCACCAAACCCTGATTACATTCAGCAGAAGGACAACAACCCTAAGTGTTCTCATAGGTTCCCTGCTGACCTCAAGAAATGTCATCTCGGCACGTGCAACCTCAAAGGACAGAGTCCGAAAAAAATGTGGCACGAGATCGAAGCGAGAGAAGCAAAATTGGACTGCTTTCATTTTCTTAAAAAGTGCTTCCCCCTGCTCTTGCGCTCTGAGCCCCACCTGAGCAGCTGCTCCTCTGTTTGTTCAGGCTGCATATGTTTCTGAAGCCTAAAATAGGATTGCACTTTCTTCGATACCAGCATTCCCTGCCAGGAAGGCTAATGATAGACTGGGCTCTGGCCAGGTGCACCCCAGCACATAGGCCCGAAAAACCAAAATGTCAGGACTTGCATTTGAAATTTAAGTTTAGTATGTGACATCCTGGAGGGAGATTATTAACATAGATTTACCAGCATTTGGGATTAAATCTGAATCCCTGACTTCTATAATAACCTTTCACCAAACAATCTGGTATCTTAAGAATAGATGGTATAATTAACCTGCAATGAAACCTTCCTTGGTTTGTAAGAAACGTGCACAGGAAATGCAGATTCAGTGCTATCAAGAGAACAGGGTTAAAGCCAAGGCCTGCACTGTATTATATATGATGTGGTTTCGTTTCGAATTGGAGACTTGATCAAGAAGGTGCAACATTCTAGAACAATGAGGGTTTTCAGATCTGGTTGTGGATATTTAAAACGGAGGTCCGAATGTTTTGAGACTGTCATTAAATACCTTGAGAAAGGCATAATGCATTGGCACCTTGCAGCAAATTAATTCAGCATACCTTCGCTTTGTGTAGGACTGGAACTTGTTTTTAGGCAGTAAGGAGCAGGCTTTGCTTTTTGTGTGTTGTCTCATCACACTGTAGCAACAAGTCAGATAAACCTAAACAACCAAAAATATGAGTAACTCCTTGGAGATTAAAAATACTCAAGGAATTTGACTTAAGAAATATTCCATATATAGTTTTCCCTATATTATGGAACTGGATACGTTACTCGTAGACTCCTACTTTCAGTAGTCAGCTTTTATTTTTAAAGACTTACGAGTCATTTTAACCTTCTGTTGCTGTGTTGTATTGTTTAGGTGTGAACAGTATGTGTTTTTATTTCCCTTTCTGTTTCAGCGTCGCAAAAGCTACCAAAATCACGCTATACGAGACTCCCACTGGTTGGAAGTTTTTTGGAAACTTGATGGATGCGAACAAGTTGTCTCTCTGTGGAGAGGAGAGTTTTGGAACTGGTGAGTGTTGCTGAGTTTCAGCTTGCCTTTTTTCTTTAGAGGAGCAAAGCGAACTCCTCACCTGAATAGATGAGCATAAAACTTGGTTAAATCACTAAGAATACGAATGCACTTATATAATCCTTTCACTTATATAGCACTTTTCTGGGTACTCCTCTCAAAGCGCTTTACAGGTAATGGGGACTCCCATCCAGCACCACCAATGTGCAGCACTTACCTGGATTGTGCAGCGACAGCCAGTACGTCAGAACGCTCACCACACACCAGCTATCAGTGGGGAAGAAAACAGAGTAATGAAGCCAATTCATAGATGGGGATTATTAGGAGATCAAAATTGGTAACTGCCAGGGGGAAATTTGGCCAGGACACCGGGGTTACACCCCTACTTTTCAAGAAACGCCCTGGGATTTTTAATGACCACAGAGAGTCAGGACCTCGGTTTTACATCTCATCTGAAGGACGGCGCCTTTTTACAGTATAGTGTCCCCGTCACTATACCGGTGGCACTAGGACCACACAGACCGCGGGGTGAGCACCCCCTGCTGGCCCCTCTTAACACCTCTTCCAGCAGCAACCTTAGCTTTTCCGGGAGGTCTCCCATCCAGGCACTAGCCAGGTTCACTCCTGCTGAGCTGCAGTGGGTTTCGAGTTGTGAGCAGCAAGGTGATAAAGCTGCTGGCTAATCGAAGTATCGATACCATTTTTGCGCAGGCTATGCAGAGAAAGTGTATGACTCCTGTCCTGATGGTCGTAACTGCCTTCCTTCGTTTGTGACAGGCTCTGACCATATCCGAGAGAAGGATGGGCTGTGGGCAGTGCTCGCTTGGCTGTCCATCATTGCCGCACGAAAGCAGAGCGTGGAGGACATCCTGAAGGAGCACTGGCAGAAATACGGGAGGAATTTCTTCACCAGGTGAGCAGGCTGGGCTGTGCTGGATCTGGGTTCACAGCAGGCCCAATGGACCTGTGTCAGAAAGGGTTTATCGGCCACAACATTTGTTTATACATCCTTCACAAGCTATAGCCTAGCTTAAAAGTTGAAACCTTCAAATGCATGTCAGACTGATTCATTCTGAAAATGTAGTATAAAAAAGTCACTGTGTTTGTAGCATTTCTATATGTTTACAGGGAAAAATAGTTTTTTTCAAAGAAATAAAGATGCAGTAGGACTTACACTTGTAAGATGGTGAGAAAAGAGTCCTGTAGTATTGAAGTACTGCAAGACTAAAACATTGTATCATTCTTTTTGATTTATTATGTATAGACTTGTCCTGCTATACATGTCATTTCAAGTCCGTATTACCCAGGGTCTGCATTTCCCCAGTTCCGTTGTTCTTATAGGTTACCCCAAATCCCTTGTTATTCAATATTTTGTATTGAAAAATTTCTTGCAATTGATCAGTTAAGTAATTTTTCACAGAAGGGAACACTGGTTGTTGAGGGCTGATGGATATTATTTTTATGGTATCAGGTGATTTCTAAATCATTTGGACATACCGCTTTTTTAATTTCTGATAGTTAAATTGCTCCATGTCTTTAGAAAGTGATCGTTTAAAGGTGACCTATGAATCCTGCTAAACTGGGGCTCCCAGAGACCAGGGTTGGAGACCAATTCCCTGGAATCATTTTAAGCATTTTCAGGTCTGTGACTTTACTACCCTCTGGTGGCTGCCCTGGAAACTACAGTGACTTTGCAGAGGTGGAGGCTGCCGTTGATAAATTGAGAGAAGCTGAAACTAGCATTTTTATATTTTATCAGCCACTCAAATGAAGAGCACACAGAGCTAGGTTTAATTTAATTATTGGTTTACAATTAACTATACATCCAAAATATTGTAAATATGTAAAATTTTGATTACTTCAAACCATTTTATCTACACTTTTCTACATGACTTAAAATGTGACCAAAATCAGGTGTTTTACATAAATTTCCTCTAACCAACTGGTTGCAAAATATCTAGAAGGTATTGCTTAATCTGTTGTTTTAAGAAGGTTGAACAGAAATGTATGGTGCCAGCAAGGGAACCAATGGTGGTTTTCATTTCAGGTAATAATGTCTGCATAGTTCCACATTACATTCTTTTACATGGAATTAAATCTGTACATTCACGCCTCCATCCATAGATATGACTATGAGGAAGTAGACTCTGACAGTGCCAGTAAGATGATGAAGGACCTGGAGGCCATGATGCTCGACCGGGCCTTCATTGGTCAGAAGTTCTCTGTGGGAGACAAGACCTACACCGTGGAGAGAGCGGATAACTTTGAGTACAGTGACTCTGTGGATGGAAGCATCTCTAGAAACCAGGTGAGACTGCTTTGGCCAGAGAGAACAAGCTGTACCACTTGAAGGTTATAAGGCTGTCTGAATCATATTTTATATGGATCTTGACCACAGTATTAACACCTCCTGAGGCCCCTCAGGACAATTCCTTATCATTCAGATGACATCTTGTACCTCCAGCAGCCTCATTTACTGTATCTCTTGCAGTAATTTCCCAGCCATCTACAGTTCATTGGAGAAACAGGAAGGAGACTCGGAGACCACTTCAGAGAACATGTTAGGGCTGTGAAGATTAAAGATTTCTCCAAGCCTATTGTTGCTCATTTCACTTCTGATGGCCATGATCGCACTAATCTCTCCGTCTGTCTTCTCCAAGATGGTTTTCCTAACTCCTACATCAGAAAGACTACAGACAATAAAATTATCCTGCAGCTAGGATCACACCTTCCTCCTTCTCTCAACGACGGACAAATTTTCTTCTAAATTCGCTCTATTCATTGTTGTTTTCATTTCACACCTCTGTTTACCTATCCTGACTTCACACTACCTGATTGGCCACTCTGTCAGTCCCCTCGTCCCGCCTCCCGCCCCTCCTCTCTCCCAGCTTGAAGAAGGCTCCACGGCAGAAATGATGTGTTTTCTCTCCTCTCTTTTCAGCATGGAATAAACCTATTACTTGTTCCTTTGCAGCCTACTCATGCTGACGCAACTACCCACCTGTATTAATACCTTGTCAGATCTGAGAAGTTGAACCAGGCTGCGCCTGCTCACTACTGGGTTGGGATATTTCACAGGTTGCTGGTGTGAATGGTATTAGTGGATCAGCAGTGGCACTTTTTGGCCACAAATTTCCCAGTGTGGTGACCAAGACACTGCTGCAAGAGGTGCTCTTTTTCGGATGAGATGTTAAACCAATTTCCCTGACGACTTGGTTGTAAAATCACAGGGTATTTTTCAAAAGACAATGGGTATTGTAGCCAGATGTCCTGGCTAAATTCCACTTTGAGCATGAGCTATCTGGCCTACCTGAAGAAAAGTCTAATTTCTCCACCGCATCTGCTGCCTTTAAGATCTGCTGGCACATTATGGATAGCAGACACCTGTTTCTTCCTGTGTGCAAAACCCTTTGTTGTGGAACAGTTGTATAATTTTGCTAACTGTGTGGTTTTGAATATTGTTTAAGGAATGATTTATACATCTACAGGAATGTTTGTAGGAAAATAGTTAAATATGTTTTATAGTCAACTTGGTTCTACTGTAGCTCCTAGCTGTAGCTAATCTACGTCCATTTTATGATAAATGTACATATCTAGTAACACATTGCTAACTCTTTGTTTTTGTTAGGGTCTGAGAATCATTTTCTCAGATGGCTCTCGGGTCATTTTCCGCCTCAGTGGAACAGGCAGTGCTGGGGCTACCGTCAGGCTCTACATTGACAGCTATGAGAAGGACCCCCAGAAGATATACCAGGACCCACAGGTGAGATCTCCCAGACATCCTGTTTAGAAGATATCATCAGTGGTTCCTTTTTAGGTGACAGGTCTCATTGGGTTATAACTGCCTGGAAAGTAAGCTTATCCATTGTCTTGTCTGAACAAAGATTATGTTAAGAGCATTGATACATTTCTTGAAACAACTATAGGGTAAGAGGTTGGAAATTTAAAAGATGTATTTCAAGCGTCTGGTTTTTAATTTGAGAAACAAGTAGCCAATAGAAGTAGTTGTGGTTTTCAAAGGCAAAGATAGCATCTAAAAACAAATAAAATAAAGATTGGCATAGACTGTGGGATTGAGTTTTATTGTAAAAGCTCCTCAGATCTCATGCTTGGGCATTAGCTATTTCTTTTCATATGCATCTTTAAAATACACATACAATTGCTGAATTGCTAAAAATGTGCTTATATAGTAATTAACTTTAACATTTTTACATATATATGAGTTACATTACAACTAATTTAAAATTTTAATTTATTCCAACAGAATCTTAAGAAGTAATGATGTAGACCCTAATATTATTTAATGTAAGAAACCCCAGTAAGTTACATGAGGTGAGGGTTTCTTTTGTGATTGTTTTTAGGTCATGCTGGCTCCCTTGGTAACCATAGCACTCAAGATTTCTCAGCTTCATGAGAAGACTGGACGTACAGGCCCCACTGTCATCACATGAGCCGTTCCAAGATGGAGGACATATAGCCTTGCAAAGATAAGAAAGTGCTAGAAAAAGATTGTCTCTTTACCTAGAGTCTAGTCTTCCAAATATGCAGGATTCATGGCCGATGGAAAAATAGAAAAAAAATTAATAAAAATGAATAAAATTCAACTCAAAATGTACTAGCAGTTGTTTGTATTTTTTGTATCCAGTGGGCATGCTCGTGGAAAACCTCTAATTTGCACAAAGTTGCTTTTTATACTTTTGTTTCCTGTTCATTTCCAACAGAAATGAAGATCACTCTGATCCATTTAAAGCTTTCGTGCTTAAACCATACAGTGTCATTGTGGCACACAGATGAACAATGTTTCAACATAACATCGTTTTTAATGTTTTTTGATGACATTGTGTATTTTACATATCCATTTTACATTAGGAGTTAACGGAGTTAGGAGTTAATAGGTGATAATGTCAAGTTTACCAAGACCTCTGCATTATTATACAAGCATTTGTCATCATTAAACAGCCCCATAAAATAATTGGACTTTTAAAAAAACCTTCAGTGACAGTTAGAATCAGAAAATATTTTTGCCCAAGCTTGTATCTCTATAGCAGAATCTACACTTTACGCAAAACTTTTTATCGCTATAGCATTGCTGAGGCCGGAAAGAGGGGAAGGCTAACACAAAAGGGCGCTTCCAGTCTAGAACTGGTGGAAACCATAGAGCAGGCCGAGTTGTCTTAATGTTCTGACCTGAAGGATTCTCTTCCTGAAGGACAGCAATCTCAGCCTTGAGTTTCCAGCTAGTTTTATTTAGCAGTAATGTGAACGTGCCGATTTCACTGACAGGATTGCATCGTCCACATCCTGCAGGTGGAGACCTGATCCTTCTGGGATTTTATCAAGCCAGTACAAACCCCCCACATAAATTAACAAAGCATAATCTACAGAGTCCAAAATTAAAATCTGAGAGGAAAATGCTTATTTCCATATTTTAGATCAACGTGGGGGCAGACGCTAGAGCATTTGGTTTTAGGTTTTCTAAATTTCTGATACTTTGTTATGAATATTAAGTTAACAGTTGAAATTAATTGAGTCCTGAAAGCTAATCCTCACCAATTTGAGATTGCTGAGCTACTTATTGATGTGATAGTGGCACAAGTGATTTGTAAATTGAAGGGTTTATTGTGTTCTTCCAAATTAACAGATTCAAAAAATCTTCTTGCATCTTCAATGAATGATACATAGGCTTCAGCCAAGATACTACTGGCTATTGTGCAGTAGGGCCTCAAGGCAGCCCAGTCTAAAGTGTTAAAACAGCTAGCTCATTTTATATCATTAGCTCCCATGACAAAAGCAATCCGTGTTACCAGTTTTGTGTCCCATACAAAAACAACACCAACACTTTTTTCCTTGTACTACAAATTCCAGATGAACAAATTAATACCTCTTCATTTGAACTTCTTTCAAAACAATAATTGTCAAGGAAATTTTAAGACTCTAATAAAATAGATATGACCCAAGCCTGCAAGTATCCTGGCTTTTTTTCCCCAATGAGCAGATCAGCCAGGATGAAGCATGCAAATTTCAATTCATTTTAAGCCTCGTTGATCAGGCTTCTATTCTCAATCCTTGCTGAGAAAAGAATTAGGTGTTCCAAGATGGCAATGAAAAGGTAAAAAAAAATGAAAGGTTTCTCCCGCCATCATTTTATTTTTCCACTCTCTGGGTTGACATCACTTGTTGCATAACTTCTGCAGTCCCTGAATTGCCCAATTTAGTTAATAGCAGGAAGCTTGGAAAGAACAGTGAGCCAGAGCATAAAGATCTCTCTTTTATTAATGTTAGAACGTACTGCAACACAGACTCTGGCCTTCCACTAGGGGCTGCCTTATTCAGGGATTGCTGGTCCACATATATAAAAACCTTTTTCTCTGGAGCAGTACAGCAGGAGAGGGCAATTAACTCAGTGACACTTCAAAGAGACGCAGCTGGCACTGGGACACATTTCTTGAAATTATTCCTTCATGCACAGAGATGAATAGCAGTGCATTGCATTTTGTTTTTTCACTGCAAAGGCTCTGGTCCATGGCATTTAAGCTCTCACTTCTGAGATGGCATGACACATAATGCATTCCTCTGTGCAAACTGTAATGGCTTGCAGGCTTTATTTTGATTGGATGTCATTACGTCAAGCAATCGCAGTAACGCTCGCATTTAGCTTTACCGCTCCAGAAAGATCAGACTCTAAAATTGGTTGTTGTTTTTTTTTCTTTGGCAACAAGTCCTTCCTTGTAGAACATTTTGGGTAGTATATTAGCCATCAGGAGCGTACGGTCGTTTGAATTCCGAATGGAAAAAACGACAAAGACAGTTTTAAAATGGAAAAAAAAGAATCTTGGACCATTCTTGGTAAAACAATAAATATATCATCCGTTTGTGCAAGATTGAGTTTAAAATTAAAACAGATGATTTGGCGAAGCTGCACTTTGAAGCTATAAGTTTAAATCATGTGCCGATCACAGTAACAAGCTTGGCTTTGGTAACGTTATCTTTCTGTGAGCATCAATGAACTGACCAAAAAAATTGAACTATGGGACCGCAGACTTATTAGGATATGTGTGAGCATGAAGATTAAATTAGTATTCCAGAGCAGGAATCAATATTATAGAAAAATATTATAGTGACAAGCAACATCCTTGTTCAGCACGGTACTTTAAGCAACCTTTCATGACTCTTCAGAAAGTGTTTAAACCATATACAAATAGATTCCCAGTCCTGTACTGTAGATCTTAACAAAAAGGGGAGTTTTAAGGTCTAAAAACTGTCAAAGGATTTGCCTCCGGAAGTATCGCAGGAATTGCATTCCATAAAAATGGAGCAACAACAGAGAATGCATGGCTACCAATAGTCCAACACTAAATCCTAGCTACAATGAGCTAAGGACCAGCCTCAACAGAACAGAGCCTATGTTCTGTTGCATTATATCTGTGTATATAGTGGATATGTTCCATGCAATTATGAAAGAATCCTTGTTCTTGTGTTTTTACATCAAGAAAACGTTACCTTTTAAGAAAGTGTAAACACCTACTGTAGAATCACTTTAAAATATTCTGCTTTGTTAATATTTCTTCATCATTGACTCTAAATTGAGTTAATTCATGGGAAATGTACTGCAACACAGACAAATGTACTGCAATTACCAAATAATTAAGGTATTTCCTTATTAGTGTTGTCACATAACTTATTTAAATAATCAGTCTCACTTGCAGTATTAGACCCAAAAGACATCATTTTTCAGTTTATTTAGGAATAGTAACACCACAGTGTGGGGGATCGTGCAATTTAGTTAATGCCGATATACAGAGGTGACGTGGTCCATACATATTCATCTTTTAACTTACTGTACATGTATTGTACCTCTTGATTGAGCTTGAATTTATGATTCAATGCAGCATCTGCTGCGAATAACTGTTTCTCTTACTACAGGGGGACTGAGGAAAAGCTTTTGGGGGAAAGAAATTATCTGAAGAGGAGTTCTCCTGCCATAAAGCAAGTTCTTACGTATTTATCACTGTTAGTGACAAACTTTATGTCCAGGCAGTTCTCTCATGACAAGTGTCTCCTGTCTATGACTCTACAGTATATGAAGGTAATGGCATGCAATCAGTAGAACTAATAGCTCAGCACAGCAATAGATGATATTCTGTCCCTCAAAACAACTGCATACTCTACGTGCTTCAGCTGGAAAGTACACAAAGAGTTTAATCTAGCTACAAGTCATCAACAAGTTTCTTATTATATACTGATGGAAAAAAGAAATACAACATTTTCTGGAATGAGAATACTATAGTTATAGCTTATGTACTTTCACAAAAAGTTGTCAATTTGTTTAAACCCTCTGACCAGCAATACAGCTTGTGCAGTGAGGCATTGCAACTTGCCAATCACATGGAAGCTCGTTAGGTGCACATTTACCCAACAAGGTCCAGGTGGAACAATGCCTGATCAGGTCACCTTTAATAAAAGGCCTTTATTTAAAGCTCAGGTCACTGCAAGAAAAAGGCCACGCTTAGCCAGTATTTTGTGCATTCCATAATGCGTTGAATGGCACCAGAAGCAAGGGAGAGGGCCATTGGCATGCTCCAGGCAGGCATTACATATGCCATCATTGCCATACACTATGGAATAAGCCGCTCTACTGTGTCCTGGCTGCAGAGAAGGTTTCAGCAGACTGGCTGGACAGATGACCGACCGAGATCTGGTCACCCTGGGGAGACCATACCAGAACAGGACCGACACATCAGACCTGTTCATCTGAGAGATCATTTCAGATCTGCCACCCTAACTGTTGCTGAAACTGCCGGCAGACACAATGCCCGCATCAGTAACAGGACAGTGAGGCTCTATGGTGCAGGCCTTAGAGCAAGGCAAGCTGTCAGAGGCCCTCTGCTCACACCTCCTAGATGTCACACCCAACTGGCTTGGGCCAGACAGAGGCTGCGATGGACTCGTCAGCAGTGACATCAGGTCCTCTTCACCGATGAGTCACTCTTCAGCCTGTTCCAAGCAGAGGGGAGGGCCAGAGTGTGGAGGAGGAGGTGTTGCATTTATTTTTTCCATCAGTATATATCTCTCAATATTAAGGAAATCATTTTTACACATTAACCTAAAATGGTGAAGCATTAGGGCTTTGCTCCACAATGGTGCTGTGTTGATATCTTGCTCCGTAGAACAGACTTTAATCACAGAAATCAGAGATATGGTAGAATCATTTACTTCTAGGCTTGGAACAGATTGGCTGTTAATGCAGCTCCCTCAAAACTCTTTGGTCCCGAGTTTGATTCCAGGCCGGGGTGTCCTCTGTTCCCTTGGGTGCTCTGTTTTCCTCCTTCCTCCAAAAATATGCTGTTTAGATTTGATGGGCTTTTCTACATTCCTCTGTTCCAACTGACCCTGCAATGTGTTGGTGTCCCATCCAGAGCAAATTAAGTCATGCACTGCTCTCAGTCATGCCTTGTGCCCTGTCCCTCGGGGTAAATTTTAGGGGGTAAGGGGTCATTTTATTGTCTTTCATTTCTAATGGACTCCAAACCAATTCTAATGTTTAACACCCACTTGACTTCATTTGGCTTGTACAAGGAGCTGGGCAGTAAATCTCCATTTGATTTGATGTTTCTG